ACAGAGGTGATATTGGAGAGACATAGCAGTGGAGAAGGAATCACAAAGGTGATACAGATAAGTGATCGGGCCCAGCTGGTAACCTTCCCAAAGTGAAATGTCTTCTCTTTTCTTTTCCGTTTAGCCTTTTGGGTCACACCGGCAATGTTCAGGGATTACTATTGGCTCTCTACTCAGGAATTATTCCTGGCAGTGCTCAGGGGACCATATGGGATGCGGGATTGAAGCCAGGTCAGCTGCATGCAAGGCAAACACCCTGCCCACTAGACCATCGCTCCAGCCTCCAAAGGGAAATTTCAAAGGAAACTGGAACACACAATTAGCTTCTTTAATGCTTCGTTCTCAGGCATGAGGGGTGGGATGGGGGGTAAGGACACACACACACACACACACACACACACACACACACACACACACACCCCTGCACGCCAAGGATGCGGTGTGCTCGGGACCCCTGAGCTGGCTCTCCGTTCTGGGGTCTCCACGTTAGCAGGGTCCCTCCCCGAATTAGCCCTTGCTTCTAGGTACGGGCAGTCGCACCTCCAGGAAAGTGCAGGCAGTGACACACCCAGGCAGGAGTCACGTTGTTTACCTAGTGCGGAAATTTGTTTTGTCAGCGCCTAAAATTTCCACCCCCGGGCCGATTTCTAGTATTCTGAGGGTAAAGGTCATTCGAGGGCCCGTCTGGGGCAGCCTAGGCGCAAAGCTGGTTGCCGCAGTTTCTCTAGCAACATCCTGCTCCACATTCTTTTGAGATAAGCTGTCCCTGGAAGCGCAGTTTGATTTCTTCCTTTTATAGCGATCACGTACAAGACAAGGACAATTGTGCTGAACATCTTTGCCCGGAAGTTGTCTTAATTTTCAGGTTTTGGGTGAAGGAGTTCCTCCAGGCTCCAACTAGTTACTAAGGGACACCAGGAATTGGGTTTAGTTTTTTTGCTTTGGGGGCTACACCTAGCAGCGCTCCGGGCTTACTCCAGACTCAGGGATCACTCCTATCTCTCTGGCCGCCAGCACCAGGAATATTTATGGCCTGAGGGGTGTCCCATTTGTCTTGCAAAAGAACTGCAGGGTCCCGTAGAAATCAAGGAACCCAACCTCTTGCTTCCCCGAGGAGGGAGATGCGGCCGGCAGCTGCGCGCACCCTACCCCTGGGCGGCCCACACCTGCGACCTCTCCCGGGCCTTATGGGCATTAACTTCTTTTGTAACACGGTCGCCTGCAGCTCATCCGTCCCGCGGGGAAGGGCTCGTAGGATGGGGAGCCCGGGAGGGAAGTGCAGAGGGGAGCCGGGGGTCCCCGGCCGGCGACCCCGACCGCCGCCGATGGAAACCCCTGCAAGCCCGGCCCAGCTCCGGGAGCAAACTTGGGGATCGCGATCTTCCCCTGCGAGCATGGAGGGCACGGTCAGACTTGACCTATCCCGGTGGCCCGAATGGAAACGAGGCCGCACGGTCAGCAGAGTAGCAAGCGGGGCACTCTGCTGGCCCGCGCCCGGGCTCAGGCGCCGCGCGGGGTAGAGCGGGAGTCGCGCTGCTGACGTCACGGAGGGCCGCGACGGCGGGAGTCGCGCTACTTGACGTCACTGACGGGCGCCACGGCGGCGGGAGTCGCGCTGCTTGACGTCACTGGCGGGCGCCGGGGCTGCGGGGCGGACTCCGCTCAGCACCCCGACCCCTGTGCGTGAAGGCAGGCTGAGCCTGGCCGCCGCGGGGCGAGACTCCGCGGTGGGTGCTCGTCTCTTGCTCAGGGAGCCTCTCGTAGGCTCCGGGGTGGCGAGGAGCAGAAGGGCAGCCTCAGTATGGGACGGTTGTGGGCTTCATGTTCAGATTCAGTGCAAGCAAGATTTAGTGTGGCTTTAATGCAACAAAAACTCTTGCAGGAGGTCCGGGAACGGGAGTACGGCGGGGAGGGAGGGTGCTTGCCGTGCACGCTTACGGCCCGGGTTCGATCCCTAGCACCACCTGTGGGTCCCCTGAGCCCTGCCAGGAGTGATCCCTGAGCATGGCTGAATGTGACCGCCCCACCCTCATTACTCCCCCACCCCCAAATTGCAGGCAGAGAAATAAGGGGGTCCTGTTAATATTACTACCTGTTTATGTACATTGGGGGAAAATAATGCTGTCTGCAGCCTAAAGATACAGCATCCTTGGGGGCTAGAGTGATAGTACAGCGGGTAGGGAGTTTGCCTTGCATGCGGCTGACCCGGGTTCGATTCCCAGCATCCCATATGGTCCCCCGAGCACCGCCAGGAGTGATTCCTGAGTGCAAAAGCCTGGAGTAACCCCTGTGCATCGCCGGGTGTTACCCAAAAACAAAACAAAAAAAAAAAAAAGATACAGCATCCTTCAGAGGAGCCAGGAAAAACCATTGAGATGCAGAATTCCAAGCCCAGAGCCTGCCTGAGCCATTTGGGGAGTTGCCCTCTTGGGGGACCGGCTCCAGCTTCAAGAAAGGACTTGTAAGAGCTAAGACTATCCAGAGAAGAACCCGCAGCGTCAAGCTCTCCCCTTGCAGCTGCCCTAGCAACAGAAGTTGAGAAGGGGGGCAGTTTGTACATCTGCCCCCCTCCCTGAGATGTGTACTTCTACTTTATGGCTCATTTGCCTGCATCTCCCCAGATGACTCTTACCCTGGGGGGTGGGGGCGTATTCTGCCACACCCTAGTGATGTGTAGTTCCTTTAGGGTGGTTTCCCCATTCTGGGGAAACAGTCGCATTTGCTCAAGTTAGGTACTTTGCTTTTTCCCCATCCAGAGAAGCCTGTGCTCTCTCATTTCTCATGAGTATTGCCCCTAGCCCGGCTTCCCATTGTTTCTTTAAAGTCCTTTAGGGTTTTTTTTGGGGGGGGGGGGTGGAGGGGGTCATATCCAGCAGTGCTTGAGGGTTTCTCCTGGCCCTTGGGGGACCATATGGAGTGCTGGGGAATCAAACCCAGATTGGCTGTGCGCAAGTTTGCCTTGCTCTGGCCAGTTCCTGGTTTTTAGTATCTGGATCAGGCAGAGTAAGAGAGGGACACAAGTTCAGGTGTGAGGAAAGGGTTGGAGTTTTTCAGAATCACTCTGGTATACCAGTCTCCATCATTTCCATGTTCGCTGGCCCAGAAACTCCCTTTTTTTGTTTGTTTTTTTGCTTTTTGGGTCATACCCGGCGATGCTCAGGAGTTACTCCTGGCTCTGCACTCAGGAATTACTCCTGGCAGTGCTCAGGGGACCATAAAGGATGCTGGGAATCGAACCTGGGTAAGCCGTGTGCAAGGCAAACACCCTACCCGCTGTGCTATCGCTCCAGCCCCAGAAACTCCTATTTTTAGTGTAAAGGGGTCAAAGAGATTGTACAGGGGCAGGGCACACACACCATGCGCTGCTGAGTCTACGTCAGTTCCTCAGCACCACGAGGACTACTGAACGTCAGGAGTAGACCCTGAGCACAGCTGGGACCCAAACCTAAAACCAAAACCGAACATAAGAAACACCTTCATGGGGTCTCAATGGCCGATGAGTGAAGTTCTTTCTCTTCAACACTCAGTACTGGGTGCTAAGGTCAGTGCTCAGTACTTACCATATGGAACTCCGGGGACTGATCCTGGGTGAGCCGTGTGCAAGGCAAACACACTACCTGCTGTACCATCGCTATGGCCCCTGATGCTCGGTAGTCTTACTGTAGCTCAGTGTTTGCCACTAGCCTTGCGCTGGACACCATGTGCTGGGATTAAATGCGGGCTTTTTAAATGCCAAGCATGCCCATGAGACCTCTGAGATATCTCCTTGGCCCCTTAGTCAAATTGTTTAATAAAATTAAATTTCATTAAGGCAGATGTAGTACTCTGGGTCCCTTTGGGGATCAGTTTAAAAGTTCTTATATTTGGTTTTAGAAATGAAAAATAACTTAGCAAAAGCCACTCAGCAGATCCCTGAATGCTATGATGCCTCACCTCTTCCTCCTTGCCCTTAGGGAGACGAGTGCTTGTCACAGACACATTTCCCCCTTCATTCTGACACTCAAATATCGGCTCAGAGCTGTACTGGAGTTTAAAAAAGACCCTTTGGGAGAGAGAGAGAGAACAAAAGGGAATGCCCTACCACAGAGGCAAGGTGGAATAGGGGGATAGGGGGTGGGAGGGATGCTGGGACCCGTGGTGGTGGAGGATGGGCGCTGGTGGAGGGATGGGTACTTGATCATTGTATAACTGAAACCCAAGCACAAAAATTTGTAAGGCTAAAAAAAAAAAAGTAATTTGACTGAAATGATGAAATGTTATACTACTGGAAAAAATAAATAAAATTCAAATGATCAGAAAAAAAATTAAAAAATAAAAAAGACCTTTTGTTGTGGTGTCAGGAATCAAACCCAGGGCCTCACACATGCAAGGAAACTTTTTGATTCCTAATGCTAATGTTGTCCACATACCTGGGGAACAACCCCTGGATACCAGTGGGCTTGGCCTCAAAAGGAACAAAAAGCCACCCCTCAATTCACGGCCTCTTCCCTCCCTGGGCCTGCATCGTACTTCTGCTACATGCGTGGCCTTCCCTCCACCAGGTCACAGATTGACCTATGACATGGAATCTAGAACCAGCTGCGAAGCCAATCCGTGTGCTACGCTCCTTGCACGCTGGCAGTGGCTCTGGGTACCCCAGAGCTGGCTCCCCTGGAGACCCAGTTCATGACATTTCCACATCACATACCCCGTCTCCTCAAGTCTTTGGGGGCAGATGATGGCATTTGAGGATAGACCAGACGGTTTCGGGAGCTCTGAAGTGGGGGACAAAGTGTGGGCGAAGACAACAGTCTCCTGACAGTTGTCTGGGCAGGTGGGCGGTGAAGGGGGGGTGGTCCGTGTGAGGGAGGATCTGCCATTTTCTCTCTCTCAGTAGGTCTAGCGGGGCACACAACACTGTCACTGAGTTTGTTCTGAATCATCTGAGCTTGTCCGAAAGCTGTAGGGTCAGAGCTCGAGGGTAGTTCGCGCCTTTGATAAAAGAGAGTCGCGTCTACAACTGGAGTTGAAAGAAAAGACTTCGATGAAAGACAGTTTTATATTATTATAAAAGTACAGATTTGCTCAGATCTTAGAAAAATGGAATGGACCTTCCACAGGATCGTACGGGCTGGAGTGTGAGAGTGATCGGGGTGGCACAGGAAGAGTGAACGGACCTTGCACAACTCACACAGGAGAGCCTGGAGCCTGTACCCGGGAGTCGGAGGGTCGAAAAGCAGCGCCCGAAGTCTCAGAGGCAGCAACGCTTCCGGGACACGCGGCCTCAGAAATGACTCTGGAATGCCACCTCACTCGTGTCGATGTCGTGCTCCTGCGGAGGGAGACACAGGGGTTTGGAGTTCAGGGCGAAGCCTCAGCGTGAACCCGGGTGCTCTGGACTCCGTTTCCCTTCTGCACCGATGGGGGACACACAGGCGCCCTCTGGCGCCCAGGACGGGTGCAGCGCCAGCGCAGGCTGTCACAAGAAAAGCCAGGGATCAAAGACCACCAGACTTTCTTACAGGGTCTCGGGGCACCTCTCCGAGCACTGTGCTTGTATCCCTACCCCAGCACACGGCACAGGGACGGCTCTATGTGCTAGTCCGGGTCTCGGCTGTAGCCCCGATGCCCGCAGCAGGCCTGGCATGGACGGGCACAGAGAGTGAGGCCACACACTGGCAGATGCTGAGCTCCCGACTGGCCTTTGTAGGACACCTTTTTAATTCTATGGCTGCACCCGAGATGGTGCCAGGAGTCAGACCAGGGTCCCTGGCATGCAAAGCACATGCTCACTGAGCTCTCTCCATGGCCCCAAAGTACATACATTGTGTGATTGTGGATAACACCACAAAAAAAGCCCTCCAGAAAACTGGAACCAATTAATTCTACCACTGGGACTGAGTAGGCGGATATTTAATCTTAGGAATTCTGTCAAGAAGGAAGATGAAGGTCAGGCAAAAGATCCCAGTTCTTGGTCTCCTGTGGAGGGCGAACAGACTCCCCCTAGCACAGGGAGCTACCGTAACCCGCACCCTGCTCAGTTCCCACGCCCCTGGTCCCCCGCACTGTCCCTGGGCACGCCGGGCAGGGCCAGCCTGAAGGAGGGCACACAGGCCTTCTGCCTGACGGGACTCTCGGCCCCGCCACACGTGTGGCTGACTCGCTTGCACCTTCACGTCTGCCCACCAACCGACCACCCTCTTCCCGCCACGTTCAGCACACTGTGTCCCCTGTGGTGCTGGAGACGGAACCTGAGGCCTCTCACGAGCAAGGCTCCACTGCCGAACCACAGCCCAGCCCACGCAGCCTTCACCATCCTCACTGAACTGTTCTGGTCTGGGGTCGCAGCAGCAAAGCTCAGGGGTGACTCCTGGCTCTGCACTCAGGAACTACGCCTGGTGGTGCTTCGGGGACTACGTGGGATGCTGGGAATCGAACCCGGCTCAGCCCTGTGCATGGAAAACGTCCTCCAGGCTGTGCTCTGGCTCCAGCAACAAGCATTCGCCATCTCCCAGCAGGCCCTAGGAGCTCCTAAATAGACAAGCCGTGCATCCTGGGCCGTCCCCTCTAGTGGGAAGACAGCGGTGAGTGCGGGGTTGTCGCTTCCCAGGGGGACCCTAAAGGGCCCTGCAGCAGGAATGAGTGAATCAGAACACAGGCTCAGTGGAGGGACAGCACCAGAGGCACCTGCCTGAGTCAATTCTAGGCGTGGTACCTGATTCAGTTTCTTGAACTCCACCACCTGGAAGAAGATGTGCTCCAGGATATGCTTGGCGTCCTGCTGGTCCTTTGGTAGTTTACTGGTCACTCCCAGGATGCCGCCACACTTCCTGACATAGAATTCCAGGTCGTCTTCAGTACCTGAGAGAGTGGGCAGCAGGTTCAGCCCTGGCCTCCCCCCTGCCCCAGCACACGCCTGCTGCGGCCCCTTCATCTCAACTCCCTTCCCTCTTTCCAGGGCAACGTGACCAAAGAATTTTAAGAGTGACCATCCAGGGCTGGAGACGGAGTACAGTGGGGAGGGCACTTTCCTTGCACACAGCCGACCTGGGTTCAATTCCCGGAATCCCATATGGTCCCCTAAGCCACACCAGGAATGATCCCTGAGAACAGAGCCAGGAGTTAAGTCCTGAGCACCACTAGGTATGGCCCCCAAACAAACAAAAAACAAACAGGATCAACTGCCCTGTGGCTCAGAGACAAGTGTGAGGCCCTTGCAAGTGTGAGGCCCTGGGATCAATTCTGGTACTTCGTGGTTCCCTGAGCCCCTTTAGGCCAGTTTCCCGGCCCTGTGCTCCATTATTTTCATGTTTTCATAGTCCTTTCTGGTCTTTGAGTGCTTGTGGCCCCAGTGACTGAATGTAGCAGTTAGGAGTCATTTTTTCCAAATGCACACTACAACTATACCCAGTTAATTGAACATTTTAAAAGTTCATCCACTTTTAATGTCACCACTTCCAGTGTCAGGAGTCAAACCCAGGGCCTTACACATGCACTCTTCCACTAAGCAAGGCCCTGGCCATATGCAAAATTTCAGAGATGGAAAAGGGGGGGGGTCTGGGGCCATGTTCAGCGATATTCAGGGCTTACTCCTGGCTCTGTGCTCAGGGATCACCCCTGGCGAAGCTCAGGGGACCATAAAGGAATACCAGGGAATCAACCTGGGTCAGCTGTATGGCAAATGACTTCCCCCATTGTACCGTCCCTCTAGCCTCCACCCTGCTCTCAGTTCTGGGGTCTCGGGGTCTGAAATTATGTGTATTATTTCCTTCCTATGGTTTTTGAGGCCACACTTGGTTGTGTTCAGCGCTTACTCCTGGCTCTGTATGCAGGGGGACCGTATGGAGTACTAGGAATCAAAACTGGGTCAGTCACGTGCAAAGGAAGTGGCCCACCCACTGGACTATCGCTTCGGTCCCCCATGTACGGACATCCTAAACACTCAACACAGTGGGGGCCTTGTACCTTCAGGCATCTCAGAGCCCGGACTCTCGGGACCAGGCTGGTCCAGCATGGCCGGCGGCTCCGGGCCTGTGGGCTGTGCCTGAGACAGCGCCTGGCAGAGGGAGCCCAGTGGGCGTCAGGAGCACAACTCGCTTTGCAGCTGCCTGGCCCGAGGTGCCATTTCTCCACCCACATGTCGCCATGGGTGGACATAATGTAGGATCCTATTCAGTTAGAGGCCTCTGGTTCTTTCGGCCCTATCTGAATTTTTCTATTTATTAATTAATTTATTCATAGTTTGGGGGTGATACCTAGCAGTGCTCAGGGCTTCCTCCTGGCTCTGTACCCTGGGATCACTCCTGGAGAGGCCTGGGCGACCAGATGGGGTGCCAGGGATAGAACCCGGGTCAGCGGAGTGCAAGGCGAGCCCCGACCTGTCATACTATCACTTGGCCCCCTAATTTTTCTATTGCATCGCTCCTCTAAGCAATGACCGAGCTGTGCTTGGTGGTGGCCAGGGGCAGGATTGATGACTGGTCACTCCGTGGGTCTGCACCAAGGCCCCAAGGAGTAAGCGGGACCTTGGCGTCCGCTGAACACCAGATCTCACTCACTGGGCCAACAGGCCTCCAGCCAAACGACATCACTTACAAATTTATCATTTTATAGTCAGGACCATGTTCTGTCTTCCCAAAATCAGCTTTAAGCGCTCATGGAAAATTTCAGAAGCTGGCCATGAAAGGAAAGTTCACAGAAGAATCTGAATAGGCAAAAAAAAAAAAATAACCCTGGCGAAACTTACACTTATTGGTGATCTGCGCTAGTCGGGCCTTCTCAGAGGAGAAAGTCTCATCTAAGTCAAACAGTTCCAGAGGCGGCGGCGGCAGTTCCCTGAAGCTGGGAGGGAAAACCTGGAAGGAGGGAAGTCTCTCAGACCAGGCTGCAGGAGGCCGCAACCAGGGCGCAGTGGGCGGGGGCACGGGCCCTGCACACGGCCAATCCGAGTTCGATCCCTGATTCCCGCCAGGAGTGATGCCTGAGCAGAGAGCCAGGAGTAAGCCCTGAGCACTGCTGTGTGGGGCCCAACCAACCCACACACACACACACACACACACACACACACACACACACACACACACACACAAAGCTACAATTGACAGAGGAAGTGTGAGGGAAACTAGTGGCCAACTAAGGCCATCCTGGGGTGCTGCAACACCTACCAACTCCTCCTGCCTGTTCACTGGAGCCAAGTAAGAGAACTGACCAGGCGGGCAAGGGGGCAGGATCAGCTCGGAATAGACCCACCCCACCACATGCAGGAGACAGCAGCCTACCAGGACCTTTTTTCTTTTTGGGTCACACGTGGCAGTGCACAGGGGTTACTCCTGGCGGTGCTCGGGGGACCCTATGGGATGCTGGGAATCAAACCCAGGTCAGCCGCGTGCAAGGCAAGCGCCCTCCCCGCTATGCTACCGCTCCAGCCCCAGCTTCGCGTCCCTGATCTCTCGGCTGGGAAGGACACCATGGAGAAGTCCCCGAGAAACATACATTGGACCGGGGCCGCGGCTCAGTGGCACAGCCACGCTCTGCAGGCGTGAGGCCCTGGCTTCGATCCTCAGCACCACAAAAACCACCTACGAGAGGGTTTGGCCTCTGCAGGTTCCGCACCGGAGAAAGGGGTCTCCGGAGCAGCAGGGCTGGGCGCACGGCGCGGCACACGGCGGGATCCGTGCCCGCACACACTCACCGCTGGCTGGAGGGCCGGCAGCGGCGTCTCAAACTGAGGCTGGATGAGCTGGAGAGGTTCATGCTTCACGTTCAGCTGCTCGTGAGCCCTGGGTGAGGAAGGAAACGGCTGAGCAGGGGTCGGGCGTTCGCGCGGTCACCCTACCCCGTCCGCTCTGAGCAGGCCACCCGGCACGCGGGTGGGAAACACGTGGAGCCGAGGAGCCCAGCGACGGTCTCTCAAGATCGCCTGTACCACGGCACGGCAGCACCTCCCTGAGAAGCGGGAAGGAAACCCGGGCACTTCACAGCAGGCTTCTCTGATGCAGGTGCTTTAGTTTGACCTGGGGGACACGGTGACGTATGACAGCATTTCCCTCTTCATCACCCTCACGGGAGAGGCATCAGACCTGTTTCCGGCCGTAAGGAGGCCTGTGTGGAGTGGCTCTGCCTGCTCACGGGCCCCGCGGGGGTTTACCATCCTCTGTGCGTGGGCAGCTGGTTCTCTGCGGCACAGAAAACCACCCCAGCGACACAGCAAGATGGGCCTGGGAACAGCACACTCAGGGCGGAGGCACACACACTACACAAAGCCCACACCAGCCAGGACTCGGGAGCACTAGGAGGAGAACAGACTGAGGAAGTGGGGGGAGGGGGGGACAAGACATGGTGCCTTGGGCGGCTGGAGTCACTCAGAAGCAGAGTGGTAAGAAAGGGTCACTAGGGGGAGGGAGGGAAAGGGAAGGGGGAGAGAGGGGGAGGGGGAGGAGGAGGAGGGGGAGGGAGTTGGGGGGGGAGAGAGAGAGAGTGAAAGAGAGATCTACTTCTTTCAAATTCCAATTCAGGGGCTGAAGCAATACTATAGCAGGGAGGGTGTTTGCCTTGCACACGGCTGATCTGGGTTCAATCCCCAGCATCCCATATGGTCCCCCAAGCACCACCAGGAGGAGTAATTCCTGAGCGCAGAGCCAGGAGCCACCCCTGTGCATTTCTGGGTGTGATCCAACAAGCAAAAAAATAAATAAATTTTTAAAAATAAAATAAAATTCCAATTGATTCTTGAAGGCCTTCTATGAAAGCAAAATGGGAATTGCCCTCCAGTTGAGAAAACTGGAGATAATGGTGGAGAGAAGGTGTAATCATGGTGGGACTAGTGTTGGAATACTAAATGCCTATATAACACATCGTTATGAACAACTACATAAACCACAGTGTTTATATGTGTGGCAGGGGATTTCAGAGGGACAGACGCACGTTTGGGGCCTGGGCCGTGTCTCAGCAGTAGGGCACTTGTGTCACCTGTGTCAGGCCGTGGGTTCGATCCCCACCCAGCAACACAGCACCACCACCCCTACCTGCCAAAAAAGGCAAAACAAACAAACAAAAAGACAAGAAAATAGAGGAGTTCTGTTCTAATCTGGGCCATCTTCGCCTCCGCTGGTGCTCAGGGGACCATGTGATGCCAGGAATTGAACCCAGGTCTCCAGCCCACTGACGGCTCTCTGGCCTGGGGCATGGAGTTTTATTTTATTTATTTATTTTTAAGTTTTTGGGTCACACCTGGTTTACTCCTGGCTGCTTTGCACTCAGGAATTACTCCTGGCAGTGCTCAGGGGACCATAGGAGATGCTGAGATTCGAACCTGGGTTGGCCGTGTGCAAGGCAAACGCCCTACCCACTGTGCTATCACTCAAGTCCTGGGGGATGGATTTTTAAATGATGCCCAGGTAGGCCAGGTCAGAAGCCAGGGGTGACCACAGTTGCAAGGGCAGCCGGGAATGCAGCTCCGACCAGGTGCAGCTGTGATGGGGGCTTTGCTCATAGGGAGACGAGACTGTGGACTGTCCCCCACCATCTCCCGATGCCCTCCTCAGCTCTGACGGTGCAGCAGACACGGGCCTGGGTCTCCTGCTCACCTCTGTCTGGATCTGACTGTCTCCAAGTCACTACCATACTCTAGCATTAATGCAACAACCTCGTGTCACCTCCTGCCTATCTCACAGGGGGACCAGCTCTCTTAAGCATTTGCCGAACAGCCCGGAGGGAAGGAAGCTGGGCTAGCAAAGGGGACGGGACCCTCAGCCTTTACTTCCGCAGATGGAGACAGTGTTCCAGGCCAGGGACACTCAACACTGTTGGCTCCTGTGCGTTACTGGGGGCGGAAAACAGTTAAGAAAGCTGGCGGGAAATGGGAGAAAGCCCCGCGGGGGAAGTCAAATCCCTGTTCCCGAGGAGGAAGGGCACTTGCCCGACTTCAACCTGCTTCTGGAAACGCTGCAGGTAACTCAGAGGAAGGGGTGAGGCAGGGGGCTGCCGACAGGGTGACCGAGACATCTGGGCATGGGAGACAGGAACGGCGAGGAAATCCCGTCCCCCCCGGAACAAAGCAGACCCCAGCGCCCAGCCCCGCCTCGTCACTGCGCCCACCCCAGTCTCTCCATCACCGACCCAAGAGGCTGTTCTGTGACCCCAGACTGACTCTGACCCTGACTCCAAGGCCCAGGGCCTGGCATCCACCAACACACACAGCAAGGAGCGAGGGCGGCGACAGCCCGGGTACTGACTTGATGACCTTGGGGAGGGAGGTGGTGTCCAGCTGGTAGATGGACAGGTCGAAGAGGGTGGTGAAGTCTCGCGGGTTCTCGTCGCCCTCCTGGAGACACACCCGCAGGCGCTCGGACAGCGTGGCCGTGTCGGGCAGCATCATGTAGTCGGAGATCTGGAATCCGCAGAGGGCCCCTCAGCAGAGCCCAGCCACGAAGGCCCCGCCCCCAGCTCGAAGGGGCTCTGGGGACCAGGGATGCGGCTCAGTGGTGTGGGCCTGGCAGAGGGGAGGCCCTGGGCTCCACCCCGAAATCGAAAAATAAAGGGAAGAGGGCAGGAGTGATAATACAGTGGGCAGGGTGTTTGCCTTGCACACAGCCACCCGGATTCAACCCCCAGCATCCCACAGGGTCCCCTGAGCACCGCCAGCAGTAATTCCTGAGTGCAGAGCCAGGAGTGACCCCTGAGCATTGCTGGGTGTGGCTCAAAAACAAAAGAAAACAAAACAAGGGCCCACAGACCACTGTTTTCATGACTTCCTAACAGATTCTGGGGTTAAAATTCATGCAACTGGCATCCTGAGTGGTAATATAGCAGGTGGGTGCTTGCTTTGCATGCTGCCAACCTGGGTTTGATCCCAGGCACCCCATATGGTTCCCTGGGCGCCAGCAGGAGTGATTCCTGAGAGCAGAGCCAGGAGGAACCCCGAGACAGGAGTAAACCCTGAGCGCAACTTCCAGGTCTGCACTCTCCTGGCAGTGCTTGGGGGGCCATATGGTGCCGGGATCACCCCAAACAAAAACAAAACAGACAAACTTCATGTGCTTTTCAGAGACAGAGCGGTAACTCAAAGGGCTGAAACACGCTTTGCGTGCGGCATGTCTGGGTTCACTCTCCGGCACCACAAGAAGGGGACCCCAAGCACCCCCAGGAGCGAGCCCTAGATACTGCTGGATATGGTCCAAAAACAAGAACGATAAAAAGCCCCAAACCCAAACTCTCCTGCAAGTTTCTTGAGCCCTTTTCTGATCGACCACTTTAGTTTGAAACCATCCCATATCAATATTACAAGACTTCAAAACTGATCCAAAATCAGGATTAGAAGTTCAGATTTTTAGAAGCGTTCTTGTTTTGTTTTGTTTTGGGGTGACACCTGGGAGGTTCTCGGGGCAACTTCCAAATCTGTGCTCTTTCTTGGCAGTGCTTGGGGGGAGGGGACATATGGTACCAGGATCAAACTTGGGCCGCCAGTATGCAACACCACCCACCCCCCCACCCAGTCATCCACCTCCCTGGCTGCTCCCCTATTTTTCACTGAGAAGTTGTCACAATCCACAACCTCCTACCTCTGGGTCCTCGGCATCGATCTGGTTTAGGTGGATATCCCCCGTAGTGAGCCACTGGAAAACAACATCCTGGATTAAAGAAACACAAAGGGACACTTGGTTATTCGAGACAGCGAGTAGGACAAGACAATGAAATCAAGCCCCCCAAAGGGCTACGGGGCCAAAGTGACAGGACAGTGGGGAGGGTTTTGGCCTTGCACTCGGCCAATCGAGTTCAACCCCCAGCAACCCCTAGAGTGGCCCGAGCACTGCCAGGAGTGAGTCCTGACTGCAAAGGCAGGAGGAACCCCTGAAACTAAAAGGAACAAGGCTGGTAAAGGGGAAGGAGCATGTCAGAAATTCACAAGGGGGCCGTGACCCTTCCCTTGTGGGAGTCACAGAACAAGCTCTAAGTTTTCTTCCCGGGTAGGGCACAGGTAAGGGCACTCTCCTCACAGTGGACCCGGGTTAACCCCAGCACCACAAACGGTCTCCTGAACCCACCACCAGTGATCCCTGAGCACGGTCGGGTGTGGCCCCCAAACTAAAAGCCCCCATTTAACTATGGCCCCTCCCACAAAAGCAAGTCAACATTTTCCTTCTCCAAATGCTACATTCAGTAGCAGAAACTTAACGAACCACCCGTCAAAGGGCATCCGGTTGGCTCATGGCCCCAAATACAGGCTGCTCAATGATGAACAACAGCCTGCAGTGCTGGGAACAGCAGAGCCAGGCCCCAGAGGAAGTGTCTGGACATTCACCGGGCTTTGGGCCGAGTCCACGGAAAGCAGACTGGGATGGACGCGGCACCGTGCCTCCTGCAGGCCTCATTTCAGGGGAGAGCAGCTCAGGCGGAGGGAGCAACCCGCAGAATCAGCTGGGACAGTGAAGAGCCTGGGGCAGCCCGCAAGGAATCTGCTATCCCGCCGGGACCCATGTCAGCCTGCTGGGCCCACAGCTTGGCCCTCGCACCATGTCAGGGTGCTGGGCCCACACATAACACTCCTGAGGCGCCACCCTGAGGGATACCCACACCTTCATCCCAGTAGTCCCATCCATCTTTTTGGGGGGCCACACTCAGCCATGCTCAGGGGCTTCACCCAGTTTAGGGCTTGGGAGAGTTTGCTGTGGGTCCTCAGGGGGCTGTGCACTGCCTCTCTGCCAGGGTTGGCATGAGCCCACATCATGATCCCACGCCATCCCAGGGGCAGACAAGACACATTTGACTTAGAACTTGCCCAAAGTGAGAGCTATGACGGACTCATCTGTGTTCACGTTGGGGGGAAGGTGGGTTTGGGCCATATATGGTGCTGCCCAGGGGACCACGCATGCTGGGGACCTAACCCAGGTCCCCTACACAAGAAGCACGGGCCCAACCACTGGGCCACCCCTCTGGCCCAAACAGTGTTTTTAAATGACATAAAAAAAAATCTCTGAGGAACGGGAGAGACAGTACAGCGGGGAAAGTGTCTGCCTCATGCGTGGCCAGGTTCGATCCCAGCATCCCAGATGGTCCCCCGAGCACAGCCAGGAAGGACTCCGCAGTGCAGGGCCAGGAGGAAGCCCTGAGCATCACCAGGTGTGGCCCCAAAACCAAACCAAACCAATCAATCAATGAGCAAACTGTCCTGACAGTGATGAAAACGGAGGCGTACCATGATCTTGCTATTTTCTTCCTTATCCAGATACTGGTCGCTGAACATGTGGCAGGAGCCGAGCACCGCCAGCTTCCCTCCGTGGTTCTGCCAAGGACAGAACAGCAGCCGACAGTGAGAGCCCGGTCAGCACCCGCGTGCTCATCCCGCCACGGTAGAAACGCAGGAGCGACGCTCTCCGATATTATTCTGTTACTGCCAGTTAATTTACTCAACTAGCACCGAGACATTTTCCAGTAATAATACTGACAGTAAGTATACTACATCCTATATATTATACACATACACACATAATATATAGTATATATACTTGATAACAAGTATATAACAACACGGGCTGGAGCGATAGCACAGCGGTAGGGCGTTTGCCTTGCACGCAGCCAACATGGCCGACCCAAGTTCGATTCCTCCGCCCCTCTGGGAGAGCCCGGCAAGCTACTGAGAGTATCTAGCCCACACGGCAGAGCCTGGCAAGCTCCCCGAGACAGATTCGATATGCCAGACACAGTAACAACAAAGTCTCCAATGGAGACGTTAGTGGGCCCGCTCGAGCAAATCGACGAACAACGGGAGGGCCTTTACCTTTATAATAACAACACGACTCTGAGCACTGTGATTTGTTAACACACGCCCTTTTCTGAGGGATCAGGGGGAGGCACAAAGAGCATTGCCGGGGCTACTGCTCAAACTGGCGCTCACTCCCACCAGTGCTCTGAGGATAACATAGTACCAGGGACCAGACAGGGCCTCCTGCAGGTCAAGTGTGTACTCCAGGCCTCTGAGCCAACTCCCCAGCCCCAGACTCCCCTTACTATAAAAAACCTAGTATCAGTAGCTTTATGCTGTAGAGGAAAAGTTTTGTATTTTGAATGATAGTACAGGTTTAGGACTTGTATCCCTTGTCATCCCGTTGCTCATTGATTTGCTCGAGCGGGCACCAGTAACGTCTCCATTCATACCTGCCACATGCTAGTGTAGCCCAGTGGTGTCTGCTCTCCCGGAGAGAGCAGATTTAGGACTTAATTCCATGAATTCTGGCACCATCACTGCTACCCCACCAGCCAAATGCGCATAACTGAGATACTACTACGCAGGACTGTAAGGACCCCTGGCATCAGGCAGTTTGGGAAGCCGCCTTTGCAATTTTAGCGGAAGTCACACACCCTCCCCGCGCTAGAAAAGGCTGTACCTTCGAGTGATAAAAAGCCAGAATGGGCCTATTGAGAGGGAAACAGACAGAGCCTGTGGACAAAACAGCCACTGCGGGTTTCATGACGCTCAGAGTGGCTCCAAAGGGGTACACGAAGGTCAGAGCCCTGGAAGAAAGGCAACAAACATTCAAATTCAAAACTGGAAAAAGTAAAAAAAAAGTTTCAGGGACCAGAGCGACATAGTACAGCAGGTGGGGTGTTTGCCTTGTATGCAGCCGAACCGGGTTCAATCCGCAGCATCCTATAGGGTCCCCTGAGCCCGCCACGAGTAATTCCTGAGTACAAGGACTGAGACAGGAGTACCCTGAGCACACCAGATGTGGTCCAAAAGCAAAAATAATAATAATAATAATAATAATAATGAAAAAACTAAAAAAGTTTTAGGAACGAGACAATAGTCTTGCACACAGTTGAGCTGGGCTGGATCCCGGCATCGCAGACATTCCCCCGCCAGGAGTATGTCCTCAGGAAAGGCCAGGGACACTCGCAACAGTGCTGGGTGATACAACGTGAGGTGCAGCACGGAGCCGGCCTCCTGCATGCAAAGAACACACTCCAGTGCTTTGAACTATCTCCTCCTCTTCATTCTTGTTGAGCTTTGTGTGTGTGTGTGTGTGTGTGTGTGTGTGTGCGCGCGCGCGTGCACACACGTGCCAAAGATCAATGCTAGAGCCACACCCAAGCAAGACCACACTTACAACCCAGAAATTATTTCGTAATCAGAAATAAAAATCCTTCATTTTGCAAAAGAGAACTCTTCCAATAAATAACAAATACCTTCTCTTCGGCTGGCTGGGGAAATACTCACTGGGCGTTGTTCCCACTGTTCTCCTCGTCAATGATGCCGGGCACAGCCTTCCCTGCAGCTCGGCTGATTTCTCTTGAAGACGGAAAAAAAAAAAAAAGAAAAGAAAAGAAAAAAGAAAACCAGGAAAGTCAAAACCTGCACGGATTTCCCTTGGCATTCATTGCTACCAAGTATGAACTTCGTCGAAGGCCTTGCAGCTTTGCTCCGGGCACAATTTTCCAATATTAAATAAAGGTATATCCATACCACACTTCTTTTGGGAAGCTTGCAAAAGTTAACATTGAAGTATAGGGATTAGGGGACTGGAGGAGGTTGGGCGTTTACATCGCACAAGGCGACCCAGGTTTAATCCCCAGGGCCACGTATGTTCCCTGAGTCCCATCAGGATTGATCCCCAAGAAGCACCAAAGAATTAGTTTCTCTTTCTTGAACCCCGAGGAAACGGCCCAGACAGCAGACTCACTTCTAGGTCTGTATTCCATAATACCAGTCCCAGCAGAGAGCTTGGGGTTTAGCAAGTGTGGGATGGATCATTTTGAAAACAGGAACAAGTTCCTAGAGAACACCCCGTGTGGTGCCCCTCGGGTGGCAGTTCCTGTGTTGTTTCCCCAAAGTCCCCGGGGACATTCGAATCCACTGGAGCAGGAAACACAGCCTGCGTCTGACCCACAGCCCCGCGGGGAGCTCTGCTGAGTGCTGGGGTGACGCTGTTCTCTGACCCTGGGGGACAAGGGTACAGATTTGGGAAACCAGGAAAGCCAGCTCACATACACGGGAGAGCAGAGCCAGGAGAACTGCGGGGAAACGAGGCCCCGTGCCACGGCCGCTTGGCCACTCGGTGGGCTCACAGCCCCCGAGGGCTGCCTGCCATCTGCGGCTGCGGGGAGAGAAGTGCAGTCTTTTATTTTATTACAGAATAATAAAAGGAAGGTGAGGGGCTGGAGCGATAGCACAGCGGGGAGGGTGTTTGCCTTGCACGCAACTGACCCGGGTTCGATTCCCAGCATCCCTTATGGTCCCCTGAGCAGTGCCAGGAGTAATCCCTGAGCATCGCTGGGTGTTACCCCAAAAAAGGAAAATAAGTAAATGAAATTAAAAAAATAAAAAATAGAAGAAAGGCGAGGAGGGAAGGGGTCAACCAAAGACAGGGCTGAGGAATGCTGAGGGCAGGTGCGTGGAGGACTCCAAGGTCCCTGGTGACAATCCCTCTGTTCCGACCCGCTCACCTATTCAGGACGCCGTTGGACACCAGAGCTTCTTTCGGGTGGAAGTACTTGTAATACACGTTTCTAACCACAGCATCTTTGAGAAGAGCGAGAAAAATTAGCAAGATCAGAAAGAAGCTTTCTCTCCCAGGCCGCCCTCCCAGACGGCCTCCGTGTCGTCCAGGGGAGAAGCCCAGACCTGAGGCCCAGCCTGCCCGCTGGACCCTCTGCTGCTGCCCGGGGCCCTTGGAGAGGACCAGTCAGAATGAGAAGAGGGAATTACTGCCCCAATTTTTTTTTTGAGGGGGGTCACACCTGGTGATGCACAGGGATTACTCCTGGCTCTGCACTCAGGAATTACCCCTGGTGGTGCTCAGGTGACCATATGGGAGGCTGGGAATCGAACCCGGGTTGGCCGCATGCAAGGCAAACACCTTATCCACTGTACTATTGCTCCAGTAGCTGCCCCTATTAAAATAAGAATACTCGGGGCCAGAGACACAGTGCAGCAGGTGAGGTGCCTACCTTTCCTGGGACGGACCCGGGTTTGATCCCGGCCCCCCCATATGGTCCCCTGCTCCCGCCAGGAGTAAGCTCTGAGCACTGCCGGGTGCAGCCCCCAAACCGAAAATAAATAACTAGAACTTACCATTATTAACCATGATGCCGTACTCTTCTAGCAGGAAGTTGATGTTGGTGTCGAACCGGGATTCGCCGCCCTCCCCCAGCATCACGAGGATATCGCCGCCGTCTTCGAGGTATTTCTTCAGGACCTCAAACTGTGCCAAGGTGAAAAACAATCTACAAATACACCCAAAAGACTTCCGTCCAAAATACTACGTGGTCTGAGCTAGTTGAAAACTAACAATTCATGATCCATAAGCATTCAAGGACGGAGAGTTAAAAGGTCAGCACAGGGGCTGGAATGATAGCACAGCAGGTAGGGTGTTTGCCTTGCACGCGGCCAACCCGGGCTCGATTCCCAGCATCCCATATGGTCCCTCAAGCATGGCTAGGAGGAATTCCTGAATGCATGAACCAGGAGTCCAAACTGGCAGGCTACCAAATGTAACCTGCCCACACGGCAGAGTCTGGCAAACTCCCCGTGGGGTACCCAATATGCCAAATACCAGTAACAATGATGGGTCTCATTCTCCTAAAGAGCCTTGAATATAGCACTTTCTTAAAAATCTCAGGGCTAGGATGAAGGAGACGTTACTGGGGCCTGCTCGAGGCAATTGACGAATAACAGGCTGGTCGTGATTCATCATCGTGATGAACCAGGAGTAACTCCTATGCATCACCGGGTATGACCCAAAAAGGGAAAAAAAAAAAAAAAAAAAAGGTCAGCATAAAATTTATTCCTGACGTAGAATTTGTCACGTTTGTAGGACTTCAAACTCAAAAAATACTCAACTTGCATTTTAGTGGTCTCATTACCTAACATGGGGGTACCCCAGGGGTGCTATCACCTGGGGTCAGTCAGGGTGACATTCTAGTGATGCGACGCTGCTTGGGACCAGCAGTGTTATGGGACCACGAGGGCCATGGCAAGTGGTGCGTGAGGCACCGTGAGGTACCGGGGATCAAACCCGGGGCTCCTGCATGCGCTCCAGCCCTTAGAGCCATCTCCCCTGCCTTAACAGTCTTTCTATAAAGTCTGAAAAATAATTCACTGTATGGGGTCCAAGCGAGAGTCCAATGGGGAGGCTGTTTGCCTTGCAAGCGGCCGACCCGGGTTCAATCCCTGGCAGCCCATATGGTCCCCTGAGCACCACCAGGAGTGATTCCTTGGCGCAGAGCCAGGAGTGATTCCTGAGTATCGCTGGGTGTAACCCAAAAAGAAAAAGAAATTCACTGTACCTGTAGACGGCATTTGTTTCAGCTGTTTTGTTCTGGGACCACACCCAGGGGTGCTCAGGGGTCACTCCTGGTAGGGCTCAGGGACCAAACGGGATGCTAGAGGCCCTTACCTCACACAGGTAACCCAACCATCCCCACAGCCCCTATAGACCACATTTTCTTTATTCATCTGTCTGCTGGCTGACACATCCAATTTTCAGTGGCTGCGTCCTATTTTTGGCTACTGAGAGTAGCAGTGGGCAGAAGAGACAGTGCAGGGGTTACGGCTCTTCCATATGGCCAAGCCTGGCCTGATCCTAGCATCACAGAGGGCCCCCTGAGCACTTCCAGCAGTAATAAAGATGATGCTCAATAAGTTTGGGGAGGCTTTGTGACATGCTGGAAAATGCAGAATGGTGTCATTCTGTTTTCATAAGAAAACAGGCCCCAAGAGAAAAATAGGACAAATAGGACTCACATAAGCTCAGGCAGCCTCCCCCCCCACCTTCCCCACTCCCCTCCACATCTGCGTCAGCTGCATGCAAGGCAGGTGCCCTACTTGTAGGACCATCATTCTGTGTCCCTGCAAAAGCTTCATTTGAAATAAAAGCTCCCTATTTTCAAAGAGCAAAGCAGAACGGCTGGTACTGAATTAGCCCACGTGACCCGCCAGCTCTTTCTCTGTGTCTCGTCACTGAAGCTTTACCACTCCACGAGGAGAAATGAGGTGAGAGCACCGTGGGGACACGAGGGGCGGTGAGGAGGGTCTCAGGCCACACTCCCGACTCTCTCATCACCCATATCCTTCACAGGCATCTCTTACCTCGGCTGCAGTGAATTTTTCCCTTGGCCCAGCCGTGATCCATAGTTTCACCCCAATTAGCTTCTCGGATGTGATTTCATCTTTTAAGCTAAAAAAAAAAAAAGAGAGACTTTAAAAACAAACTTCGATTCATAATTTGCACAATGAGTTCTCTTCTCTTGGGAACTGTAGGGAAGTAGAGGCCGGAGAGACGGAGAGATGAAGGGTTTAGAGGCACTGAGGCCGGAATTCCTGCGCTCGGGGAATCCCCACTGTGAGCCTGCCCGAGGGTCTGCAGCTCCTAAGTCAAAGTACCCATCAAATAATGTGGGAACTCCCAGGCCAGAGACATAGTACGGGGAGAAGGCCAACCCGGGTAGAACCAGGTTCGATCCCCAGCATGTCCCGTATGTTCCCACCAGGAAGTGATGCCTGAGTGAAGAGCTAGGAGTAAGCCCTGGGCCCCCCGAGCACCACCTACTTTTGTACCCCCCCCAAAAAAAAATAAATAAATAAACTATGTTAGAATGTAGAATTCTCTATCTCTAATTCAATCAGTTCCACTATCAGCTTGAAACAACTACAGATCTTTACCCACTAAAAAATAAAAAAAAAAATACTTGGGGCTACAGTGATTACAGCAGGTGGAGGTGGGGGGGCTTGCCTTTAACATGATATGGGCCAGGCTAGAAAGATATATAGCGGGGAGGGCATTTGCCTTGCGTGCAGCCCGCCTCCCCCAAGCACCACAGGAGTAATTCCTGAGTGCAGAGCCACAAATAAGCCCTGAGCATCAACAGGTGCAACCCAAAAAGCCAAAAAAAAAAAAAAACCCCACAAAACAAAACATGACAGATGCAGGTTCAATCCTGTCGGGAGCAATTCCTGAGTGCAGAGCCAGAAGTAACCCCTGAGCATCACTGGGTGAGATCAAGAGCAAACAAAGAAACAAAAAAGAAAAGCCATATCTGCGGCCGTAAGTAAAAGGGGTCAAGGTGTGCGGCCCAACTGGTGAAGGTGCGGGTGTTTCATTGTATGACCGAGACTTAAACCCGAAAGCTTTGTAACTGCTCTCACGGTGATTCAATAGATAAAATTATTAAAAATGGGGGGAAAAAAAGTAAGGTGGAGTTCATGCACAATTCAATCAGCTAATTGGTGGCTGAATAAATAGCAGTACTCCTACATTAAAAAAGAAGAAAAAAAAAGGTGTGCGGCCCAAGATTATAAAAAAGGAAAACCGTACCTATTGGTCAACAAAGAGATTGTAGCATTTCCCTCAGGCACCAAACAAGACAAAATACAGAAAAAGCACTTGCCACTAAGAAACTTGTATAGGTATGACTTCTGTAATTTTTAATTTGTGATCTGGAGGTCAACTTACTAATTTGCTAGCTACCATTTTAAAAAAGATGTTTCAGTAATCATTTACTTCTAAAGGATCTTTAAGATGAGTTCCTCCCACCTAAGCTTATTCTCTATTTTTCCATGCTGAGACCACTCTCCGCACACATGAAGGTACTGGCAGAGGAACAAAGGCACGCGGGTCCCGGGGCTGAGATATCCAAGCCTACTCAGATCGGGGCTGAGCATCCTCCACCCAGATCCTCCAAATTCCAGTAGGTGGGTGCCACACCCACCAACTGGCCCCCTGGCGCCGTGTAATCCCATCAACGGCCAAGACTCAGGTATTATAAAACCCAGCTCCCGGAAGCGCGTGGCCGCATTCACAGCCGCATGACATCTTATTGTGACATCTTATTATCTCATTACTACCTTGGACAACCTGGCAGGCTACCGAATGTAACCTGCCCACACGGCAGAGTCTGGCAAACTTCCCGTAGCATACCCAATATGCCAAATACCAGTAACAATGATGGGTCTCATTCTCCTAACTCTGAAAGAGCCTTGAATATGGCACTTTTCAAAAAATCTCAGGGCTAGGACGAAGGAGACCTTACTGGGGCCTGCTCAAGGCAATCGACGATTAACAGGATGGTCGTGATCGTGATCGTGTTTTGGACCACACTGGGCAGTGCTCAGGGCTTACTCCTACCTCTGCCCTTGGGAATCACTCCTGGAGAGGCTCAGGGGAACGAGATGGGGCCAAGAATTGAACACAAGGCAAGCACCCTATCTGCTGCATCAATGCTCCAGCCCCCTAGACTTTTTTTTTTATTTCTTACATAATAAGACTTTTCAGTGCAGCAGCAGACAAGTTATTCTCATTTAAAAGGGACAGCAAGGGGGCTGGAGTGATAGCACAGTGGGTAAGGCGTTTGCCTGACACTCAGCCCACCAGGGTTCTATCCCCGGCATCCCATAGGGTCTCCTGAGCACCGCCAGGAGTGATTCCTAAGTGCAGAGCCAGGAGTCAGCCCTGAGCATCGCCGGGCAAAAATAAATAAATAAGTAAATAAAAGGCAAAATCTTTTAAAAAATAAAAAATAAATAAATAAAAGGGACAGCAGTAAATAGAGTCACCTCTGGATTTTCCAGTTACTCCGAAGTCTTTTCTGCAAGGACTTATAGCCATTGTTGGTGGTAAACACTTCCTTTTTGTAGGCGTTGAAAAGAATGGTGCTCCGAAGCTCTTTCTCCATGTTTACCTTGAAGGAAAAAGAAGAGATCAAAAAAGGAAAACAATGAACCCCGCTCCCCAAAGAAATCTGCTTTTTACTTCTAATACTCTGGAAAGGTTATACCCGTGCAATCTTTTAGTGAAAAGCCTGCAATTCCCCAAAGTTGAGGGTACACTGCACAAGAGGCCCAGAAATCAAATCACCCCAAGCTTGTTCATCCTTTCTTTTTTCGGTGGCCACACCCTGCAGTGTTCAGGGATCACTCCTGGCAGGGCTGGGGGGACCAGATGTGTGCCAGGGATGGAATTCTCATCAGCAGCACGCAACCCAAACGTCCTTCTACCCTGCCCTACTATCTCTCAGGTCCCATCCTCCTGTCTCTTCCCCTCTTCTTTTGTTTTTCTGTTTTTGGGCCCCTCTTGATGATGCTCAGGGATTACTCCTGGCCCTCTGCTGTGTAATTAGTCCTGGTGGTGCTGAGGGAACCATATGGGATGCTGGGGATCAAACCCGGGTTGGCTGCATGAGAGGCAAACACTCCACCCACTGTGCTATCACTCTGGCTCCTCCCTATCTCTTTTTGTAGTGGGGGGCCCACAGCGGGTGGTGCTTGGAGGGACCATGAAGTGCCGGCAATCAATCCAGGGGCCTCTGCATGGAAAGCCTGCTCTCTGACCAGCCCTTCGCAATGTCTCTCCAAGCTTGCAGGTGATTTCTAATGAGGGTCGCCCGCACCAGACAGTGCTTGGAAGGGCCATGAGGTGTGGAGCAACAGCACAGCGGGTAGGGCATCTGCCTTGCATGTGGCCAACCCAGGTTCGATTCCCAGCATCTCATATGGTCCCCTGAGCACCACCAGTGCAGAGCCAGGAGTAACTCCTGTGCATCTCTGGGTGTAACCCAAAAAGCAAAAATAAATAAATAAATTCAGGATCTACCACTGGGGCGATTCCCCCACTCCCTATGATGTTATTATGGGTGGGGGGAAACCTCCCAAGTGGTGCCGGGGAAGCCCAGGGGTCTCCCCCAGCAGTTCAGTCAACCTGCCCAGGAGTTCAGTGCGCGGGCCTGAAGATGCAGTGTCAGCATCACCTGCACCATCCTGATGGTGCTGAAGGGCCTCCAGTGTTGTATCCGGGGAGGCACAGGAGACCACGTGGTGCTGGGGTTCAAAGGAGGGAGGGCTACCTACATGCAAGGCACACTCCTTAACGCCGACACTCCCCAACTCCGAGGTCCTTTTGGGGGTTGGTTTTGGGGTCACACCCAGCAATGCTCAGGCTCCGCACTCAGGGATCACTCCTGGTGGTGCTGGGGGGAGTATACGAACGCTGGGGGGAATATTCGGTTGCTGGGGATCAAACCCATGCCGGCCGTGCGCAAGGCCAAGCGCCCGATCCTCCGTACTGTCACTTGGGCCCCACCAATCCCTTTCAGACATGATTTAAAAATATCACTTGTGACTACAAAATAAATTTATTATTATTTATTTATTTTGCTTTTTGGGTCACACCTGGCGATGCTCAGGAGTTACTCCTGGCTTTGCACTCAGGAATTACTCCTGGCGGTGCTCGGGGGACCATATGGGATGCTGGGAATTGAACCCGGGTCAGCCACGTGCAAGGCAAACGCCCTCCCCACTGTGCTATTGCTCCAGCCTGTTTTTTATTTTTGGATGCGGTGGTCACACTCAGAGGTGTTCAGGGGCTCCCCCTGACTTGCTGCTAGTGGGCGACTCCTGGCAGAGCTTAGGGAACTATGAAGAGCACGGATTGAATCCGGGGGCCCACAGGTGAAGCATGTGCCTCAACCCTTTGAGCTCTGACTCAGCCCTGGGGACCTTATTCTTAGTTCTACAAAACTGCTGCTCTCTTCCATATTATCTTAATAACTACAGCTTTTAGTGTAATAACTGGCGGTGCTCAGAGCACCACCTTATTCCAAACATTTAGAAAGAGTGTCACATATGAATTCTTCAAGTTAAACTTCAAAATCATATTTTAGGGTGGCACTGTCCTCCTGCTGTTCATCGATTTGCTCGAGCGGGCCCAGTAACGTCTCCATTGTGAGACTTGTTGTTACTGTGTTTGGCATATCGAATAGCTTGTCACGGGTAGCTTGCCAGGCTTTGCCGTGTGGGCAAGATACTCTCGGTAGTTTGCCGGGCTCTCCGAGAGGGGTGGAGGAATCAAATCCCGGTCAACCGCATGCAAGGCAAACGCCCTACCCACTTTGCTGTCGGTTTTTAGGGTAAAAAATATATATATGGACCAGGAGCGATAATACAGCAGGCAGCATGTTTGCCTTGCCCACGACTGACCTGAGTTCAATTCCCAGCACTCCATTGGGTCCCCCCAAGCACCACCAGACCGGATCCACGAATACAGAGCCAGGAGGACTAAGTCCTGAGCACTGCCAGGAGTGGTCCCAAAACAAGCAAAAAAAAAATCCTTTAGCTGCAGAAGGGGTTAAGGTGCTTTTTTGTTAACCCCAGACCCCAGTTTGCATCCCAAGCACCACACACAGTTCTCCCAAGCACTGCCAGGGCTCACTCCTGGAGGAATACAAAGCCAGGAATAGCCGTCCCCACCCCAGCACCAGGAGGTGCGGCCCCTAAACACCCCCTTCTCATAGCCCATAGCCCAAGGGCCTAGCACATGCCCGGGGAGCTGCCAGGCCCGGAGTTCAACCCCCAAACACCTTCCGCCCACCTTCAGCATCATGGGGCCCAGCACTCAATTGCCAGTCCCGCACAGCTGGGGTGAGACGGCCCCGGGCCCTGGAGCATGGCTTGGCACCCCGAGTGCTCCCTGCACCCATCCCCGCTCCTGCATTCACTCCCGGGACGCGGATCCCGGTCCGGTCCAGTCCAGTCTCTGCCTCCTCGGGTTCCAGCCGGTCAGCACGAGCCGTCTGTGGCTCAGAGATGACCCCTGGCGGTGCTCAGGGGTTCGCTGCTGGGCTTCGAACCCTTACCCGGGTGGGCCACACGCCAGGCAAGCGCCTTGGCCCCGTCCCACCCACCTACTTCTCCGTGAGCACCGGGTCCACCCCCCGACGCCCCCGCGGGCACCGCTGAGCTGCCCCTTGCGGCCTCTTCCCCTGGACAAGACCCTCATGCAACGCAGATTTCCCACGCGTCTCGAGCCCCTTGCCCGGGCTGTCGGGTGCCCCGGCGGGAGTCCCGAACTCTGGCGGGAGGCGGCTGCGGGCCCGCGCCCGGCTTACCTGGGCCCGGGGCAGCCCCGTCCTCACCTGGCGCCCGCCCGCATCCCGCGCCCAGGTGGCCAACGGCGCCTAGCAACGGCCGGGCGGGCGCGCGGCGCGCGGCGGGGCCGGGCCAACGCGGGGCTCGCACCGCGCCGCGGGGAGGGCCCGGTCCGAACGCAATCAGGACCGGGATTTGAGGCTTAATTTTGGCCTTTAAAAAGCGCGATTTGGGGCAAAGACGCAGAAAGACGGTAGCCCCAAGGGCCCAAACTTGCCCCGGGTGGGTGCGCCGCGCGCTGGCTTAGATTCCTAGTGCGCAGGCGCGGAGATGGACACGCCCTCTGGGGCGTGGCCAGGGGCGGGCTGGAAGGGGCGGGGCTAGACCGGTGAGGTCGGCGAATGGGGCGGGGCCGAACGAGGGGGCGGGGTTGGCGGAGGGCGGGACTTGGCCTTGCGGCCCTGCGGGTGGAGCCGGGCTGCAGTGGAGCTTGCTTGCAAGCCAGGACTTAGTGGACGCTGGGGGAGGACTTACAGAGCCCTAGGCCAGTGCGCTGCTGACACTGGTAGCACGAGGTGACTTCCTCGCATAGATTAGTCCAGCCCTCCACGGTGCCGGGTCCAGCTAGGGCAAAGGCTGGGAAGGGCAGTGGGCAGACTGCTGCCGGAGTAGGGGAGATGGGGCGGGGGGGGGGGGGGGGGTGGGAGGAGGCCGGGGGTGGGCGGACCATGGCCACCTGCTGAGTGCCTGGGAAAGAGGCTGCCAGGAACCGGGAACTGACCACCCTTCTCCACAGCACAGTGTTAGTGCTGCCCCAGCGTGGAGGCGGCTCACCCGCAAGGCATCTGACTCTTCTGATGGACGTTTCTTTTGTTACCTTCTGCGGCTCTGACCTGTTGGTGGGAGTTTTAGGATTGCTTTGTTTTACTTTGTTTTGGTTTTTGGCAGGGCAAGTTTTAGGATCTTAAAACCCACAACTTGGTGCCTTTCATAACTCATCTCTGCAAAATTCAAAGTGGAGAAAATGATTGCCTGGGAAAGAGGCTGCCAGGAACCGATAAACTTTTATTGGTGTTGTTTTGCTTTGGTTTTGATTTGAGGAGTGGGGAGAGGGGCACATTCATCAATGCTCCTGGCTCTGTGCTCAGGAATTACTCCTAATTGTGCTCTGGGGGACCTTCACATTCCAGGCTAGTGCTCTACAGGCTGTACTATCTCCCCAGCCCCCTTGGCATTGTATTTTGTGCAAAATTAGATGAAATCAGTCTGCAGTTCAAGATAAAAATGGAAGGGAGACAGTACAGAGCATAGGGTTCTTGCTTTGTATGTGGTCTGCCTGGGTTTGATCCTCAGAAGTCTATATGGTCTCCTAAGCCCTCCAGGAGTGGTCCCTGTGTACAGAACCAGGGGTAAGCGCTGAGAACTTCCACATATGGCTCCCAGAGCCTCACACACACACACACACACACACACATACACACACACACACACACACACACCAAGGAAGGTATTTCCACCACCAAGGAGAGTGATGTGTGTGTGTGTGTGTGTGTGTGTGTGTGGTGTGTGTGCAGTGGGGGTGTTGGAGCACACCCTGAAGTGCTTGCAGGCTACTCACTGCTGTGTTCTCAGGGGACCACGTAGTGCTGGGGTTTGAACCAAGGTGCCCACGTGCAAAGAATGTCCTCCAGTGACCCAAGGAGGTGCCACATGGAGGCGGAGTTTACTGATCCTTGGCCTGACTGATGTCTACTCTGCTAGAAATAAAAAAAGCAGAGTTGGGTAGGAGCAATAATCCCGCAGGTAAGGCATGCCAAAGCAGGTTCATTCCCCAGTATCACCTAAGCCCCTCCTCCCCGCTCCTGCCATGAGTGATCACTAAGCACAGAGCCAGGAGTAAGCCATGGGCACCACTGGGTGTGACCCAAAAGCAAAAAAAAAAAAAAAAAAGGAGAGAGAGAGAGAGAGAGAGAGTACCTGTCCAGAGCATACTCCCACTGTCAGAAGTTGTAGAAAGAGAAATGAGCTTTTAAGTCCATTCCTGGCTCTGCTGGTGGCAGCTGGGTGACCTGGGGTGAGCTGCTTAATATCCCAGAGTGAAAGTTTCTGAATCATTAGTGAGGTTAATCATTTCTAAAGGCCGGCTGATGGTGAGGATTTTAGATAAGACATAGAAAGCTCAGAACATGCTCAGTCAACATAGATCCAGCATGATCGATTCACTAACAGATTATTTTCTCCTGTTTTTCAGGGGAGAGTGTGTACACAGTCCCCCACGACCACAAAGGATGCAATCGAGTTTCGCACATGTGGGGAGATTGCGGGGGTCAGCGCATCTGCACGATCGATTAGCCTCGCCCGGGGAAACCACCTTCTGGTCATGGTATTTGCCCTGCCAGGTAAGTATTTCATCTTCTCCTCTGGCGAAATGGTCACGATTTTACAGTGGATTTTTTGTTTGTTTGGGAGCACACCTAGGGGAAATCAGGAGCTACCCCTGGCTCTGGGCTCAGAGGTCACTCTGGGACCACCATGTGGTCCTGGAGACTGAACCAGACCCCCTCCTTGCAATGCGTGTGCTCAATCTCTTGGGTTCTCCCCAGTCCCGATGTTATAAGTCTCTTTTAAATTTTTATCTATTTTTTTTATGTAGGAGTACTGCTATTTATTCAGCCACTAATTAGGCTGATTGAATTTGGCATGAACTCCACAAATTTTTATCGTTTGGCGGGAAGGACAGGGAGTTTCGGTCACATCCAGCTGTGCTCAGAACTTACTCCTGGCTCTATCAGGGACCACTCTTGGAGGTGCTCCGGAGCCATCTCAGTGCCAAATGTAGAACTGGGGTCAGCTGTGTGTAAGGGGGAAGCTTCCCCCCCCACACACTCTACTGCTTTCCAAGTTTTACAGGCGTAGAGTCAGAATCTGGACAGAATGTCCTGACCCCATACCAAGCTGTCTTCACGGAGGCAACTCAGAGGAGGGCAGATTGAGTTTCTCTCCCCCTCCCAGCAAAACCCCTACATCCGAAAACCTCCAGAACCCAGCCATACAAGGCCACTCTCCACAAGCTCAGATGAGCCTCATGTATGGGGAAACTTTCAGAAAAATCCAGGTATGCGGGACCCATGACTGAGATCTCCAAGTTCGCTTGGAACCGGACTAGACTTCCTCCCCCCAGCTCCCAGTTTTTTCTTTTCTTTCTTTTCTTTTTTTGCTTTTTGGGTCATACCCGGTGATGCACAGGGGTTACTCCTGGCTCTGCACTCAGGAGTTACCCCCGAGGTGCTCAGGGAATCATACTGGATGCTGGGAATCATCCCAGGTCAGCCGTGGGCAAGGCAAACACCCTACCCTCTGTGCTGTCGCTCCAGCTTTTTTTTTTTTCAATTTTTATTTTTTTGCTTTTTGACAGCTCCCCAGTTTTCCAGTAGCTTGGCAGTCACACCCACAAGCTGCCTCAGGTGGCATGTAATATCATCAACGGCTGGGATCCAGAGACTGTGAAATAAAGCTCCCAAAAGAGAGCAACACAGAACATACTGGGTGGTCTCTTATACTCTAGCCCACTGATGTACCAAAAGTAGCACACATTTGTTTGGGTTTAACATATATGTTTGCAATCTCATACAAGGGCTTAAATTACTCCAGGATGAAACACAACAATCTTCACACACTTTCCTGTTGTGGGAAGGTGCATGGTGGTGGGATTAGTGTTTGAATATTTTCTGTAATGAACTATTGTGAACAACTTTATAAAAATAAAATTAAATTAAAAAAAAAAAAGACTAGGCGTCTCACAGCCCCAACTGGACTGTGGACTTTGGCAGTATTGTCACAAACATTTCTGACACTCTTGTTGTTTTCTGTTTTGGTTCGGTTTGGGGACACACGTCATGGTGCTCAAGGCTTCCTCCCAGCTCTGGGCTCAGGGATCACTCCTGGTGGGTCTCCTATGTGGTGGCAGGGATCGAACTGGGTTGGACCAGGTGCAAGACAGGTATCTTGCCCGCTGTTCTCTTCCTGGTCTCCACCCTTGCTTTTTCACCTAGAGAAACCGGAGACATTTTGGTCCCTCCCTCCCATGGTCCACATTTCTCCTTGAACAGACACTGTGAAGATAAAAATCAAAAATCAAAATAGTGAGGCTGGAGCGATAGTACAGTGGGTAGGGCGTTTGTCTTGCACATGGCCAACCTGGGTTCGATTCCCAGCATCTCATATGGTTCCCTGAGCACTGCCAGGAGTAATTCCTGAGTGAGTGCAGAGTCAGGAGTAACCCCTGAGCACTGCTGGTGTGGCTCAAAAAGCCAAAAAAAAAAAAAATTAAAATAGTGTCGTAGAGTTCTCGGCACTGTCAGTGGGTGACAGGACATCCTCCTGGCCCTGCTTTCTCTCTTACAGGTCAGTCAGTGTCTGTGTTACGGGTGTTTTCCATCCTCCAGGCTCATAATTTCTGGGCAGGGGACTGACTAAACAAAACCGGAAGTGGAGTTAAGAGGAAAAGGCAGTAAAGTCATGAGCACACATACACGTTGGGAAGTTTCTTCTTGGGCTGGAGAGCTAGGACAGTGGGTGGGGCACTTGCCTTGGCCATGGCAACCTGAGATCTATCCTGATATCCCATATGGCCCTTCGAGCACCACCAGGAGTAATTCCTGAGCATCGCCAGGTGGGGCCCTAAACAAACAAACAAACAATAAAGTTTTTTCCTTGGAGCCAGGAATGTGGCCCAGCAATTACAGGGCACACTTCAAGCATGCGAGATCTCAGGACACCCCTGCTGTTGTTTCTTTGAGTCAGAATTTGGCCCAGGTGAAGCCTAGCTGCAGTAGAAGAAAAACGTGGGGGTCTAGTGCTTTTAGTTAAGGACGGAGGTAGTGCTTACCTCTCTCCCCACCCCTCAAAAACAATCATCAAGGAAAGGATTCCCTGAATCTAGGAAGGGTTCAGAAACCAGGCAGACAGAGCCCTTAATAAATGTCCAGACCATGCATGACATAGACAGCGTCAAAGATCAGAACATGTGGCTGAGATGCTCTGGGCTCGTTACAGCTCTGTTATTCTGAACCCTGAGATTAGAACTCAGGCCTCAAAAGGCCACTGCTGCACTGTGGTGGGTCTATCCAGCATCTCGGCCTTCCCCAAGGCCCAGGGCAAGGGCCTGGAGCCATAGTACAGCATGTAGGGTGTTTGCCTTGCACGTGGGCAACCCGGGTTCGATTCCCAGCATTCCATATGCACCACCAGGAGGAACCCCTGTGCATCACTGGATGTGACCCAATAAGATAAAAGAGATCCAGGCAGCCCCTTTGGGATTCCGACAGTCACTTGCCCTGCAAACAAGCCCAACAAGCCCCAGGCAGGTGTGGGGCCAAGGGCTGTGCTTCCCGAGAAGCTCTGAAAAGGTGGCTTTTGGCTCTTTTTTTTTCAGGGGAAAACACCTGGCAATGCTCAGGGGCTCCTCCAAGTCCTGTGGTTGAGGGGTGCTCCTGGCAGTACTCTGAGGACCAGGCTGGCCGCATACAGGGCAAGTGCCTGAATTAGGCCCAACCCAGGTCACTGCCACAGAAGTCCAGGACAGAGGTGGCAGAGCAGAAACACAAGAAGTGTCCGATGACCCCGAGGGCTGTGACAGGGCCTGTGAATGCGTTTCCACGGGGGCTACTCTTCTAGCTGTCCAGGATGGCCTCGTCGTCGTCGGGTGCGTAGGAAAAGCCCAGGAAAGCACTGGAGGCCCCGGAGCTACTGGCCATGGCGTCAGGGGTACAGCCGATGGACTTGGACACGGCCTCCTGCGTGAACTCGGGGTCAAAGTGTCTCAAGTCGGCGGGACCAGCCTGTGAAGGGAAGTCAACGGCGAGAAGGGAAGGCTGTGGCCGAGTGGCCCAAGTGCCCAAGAGGGACATCCGGCCTCCTCTCAGCGCCAACAGACACCCCAACTTCCTGGCACTCACACACACATATCACATTAGTCTTTTTTTTTCTTTTGGCTTTTTGGGTCACACCCAGGGATGCATTGGGGTTACTCCTGGCTCTGCACTCAGAAATGACTCCTAGCGGTGCTCAGGGGGACCATATGGGATGCTGGGAATCGAACCCAGATTGGCTGTGTGCAAGGCAAACGCCCTACCTGCTGTGCTATCTCTCCAGCCCCATATTAGTTACTTTCTTCCACGAGGTCCAGTAAGCAACTACCAAGCCCTTTAGCTCCCGTCAAGCTAATCCTCAAACTGAATCTGCATGGTACACAAATGCCTTCCAGGCACTGCTCACAGCCCTGGAAATGCCGGAGAGCCAATGAGAGCACACTCTTCCTTTCGGGAGTTTGTGTCAGAGGGGCTAGGATGATAGGTAACGCATAACTGCACAAATAGGTCATCTGGGGGATTGATAGGGTTTTTTGTTTTGTTTTGGTTTGGTTTTTGGCTTTTCGGGTCATACCCAGCGATGCTCAGGGGTTACTCCTGGCTCCTGGCAGTGCTCGGGGGACCATATGGTATTTCAGGGAACGAATCCAGGTTGGCTGCATGCAAGGCAAATGCCCTCTCCATTGTGCTATTGCTCTGGCCCCAGAGGCTGATAGGTTTTATGAAGAAGATAAAACAGGTTCTATGAGACCTGAAGACTGAGCTGCTTTCTTTTTTTTTTTTTTATCTTTTTGGGTCACCCGGTATTGCACAGGGATTACTCCTGGCTCATGCACTCAGGAATCACTCCTGGTGCTCAGAGGACCATATGGGATGCTGGGAATCGAACCTGGGTCGGCCGTGTGCAAGGCAAACGCCCTACCCGCTGTGCTATTGCTCCAGCCCCGCCGTTTTTGTTATTTTGGGGGAGACTGCGGGGAGCTGGCAGAGATGGTCCTCAAGGCTCCACTTCCCATCCAGAAGTGGAATCTAGTCCTCATCCTGTGGATGTGACTTGGGTCAGTGGGACAGGAGCCAATGTGAGCAAGCCCAGGCCAGCCATCTGGTGTATCAGCCCCCAAACCAGAAACAAATCAAAGGAATGTAAATGATAAAGGCCAGTTTCTGTATTTTTTAACTTAACAAATATGCAAAATAAGACAGTGGGTAAGACTCTTGCCTTGCATGCAGCCAACCCTGGTTTGATCCCCAGCACTCCTGAGCCCCACCAGGAATAATATCTGAGCACCACCTAGTGTGGCCAAAATGAGAAGAGAGAGGACAGGCTGGAGTGATAGCACAGCGGGGAGGGTGTTTGCCTTGCACATGGCTGACCTAGGTTCAGCATCCCATATGGTCCCCTGAGCACTGCCAGGAGTAATTCCTGAGTGCAGAACCAGGAGGAACCCTGAGCATCTCTGGGTGTGACCAACTGCTCCCTACTCCAAAAAAAAGAGAGGACAGAGAGAGATAGAGAGACAGAAAGAGAGGAGAGAGAAGTGAGAAAGAGAGAGAGAGAGAGAGAGAGAGAGAGAGAGAGAGAGAGATGGCCCAGATACTCTCCACACTTCCCCTTGCCCCAAGAATCTGGGCTGCAGTCCAACGTGACTCACCACATTTGGGTTGAAGGGTGGAGTCACCCTCTTGTGGTACAAGTCATCCCAGTTTATGGGGCTGAAGAACACGTGGTTCTGTATGTCCAGCTGCAGGAAGAGGGTATGGGTGAGAAGAAGCCCCCCCCTTCCCCTAGATGCTCGCACCCCACCCCATGAGCCCAGCACCCCAACTACCAACCTTTACCAAAGCTAAAACCTTTACCAAGAAACTGACTTGCTGTTCCAGTTGGTTTCCTAGAACAAAAAGTCATCCGGAAGTCTCCCCTCCACCTTTATCTAGATCCCCATCTTTACTCGCATAAAAATAAGTCTATAATAAAACATTTAGAGGCCAGAATGATAGTCCAGCAGGGAGGGCACTGGCCTTGCATGTAGTCCACCCGGGTTGTATCCCCGGCACCCCTTATGGTCCCTTGAGCATCAGCGGGAGTGATTCCTGAGTGCATGAGTCAGGGCTAAGCCCTGAACATCTCCGGGTGTGGCCCCCAAATAAGTAAATAAAAAAATTTTAAAAGTTAAAACTGTCCTAGGGTTGCTGAGGGAGCAGACTGCAATCCCCCTCTCCATAGACAGGTGCCACTTGGATACTGGCAAGGGGGTCGTGCTCAGGCAGCTGAGAAAAGCGAGTCCTGTCCGGGCTGCACAGAAGCATCGGGAATTTCTTCCTCTTGTTTCATTTCTGTGAGCACCTCCCGGTGCCCGAGGACGACTCCCAGCTCTGTGCTCAGAGTTGCTGCCAATGCCGCCTGGGGGAACAGGCCAGGGGGGAAGGGAACTGGGCCTCAGCCCAGAGCGACAGAGCCATCTGCCCGGGGCCAGGAAGTTCTGGAAATTTATTTATTTTATATTTATTTATTTACTTTTTGGGTCACACCCGGCGATGCTCCTCAGAACCCAGAGTTCCTCCTGGCTCTGCACTCAGGAATTACTCCCGGCGGTGCTTGGGAGACTATATGGGATGCTGGGACTCGAACCCGGGTCGGCCGCGTGCAAGGCAAACGCCCTACCCACTGTGCTATTGCTCCAGCCCCAGTTCTGGAAATTTAAATCAAGCCTTGCCAGTGCCCCGCTCAGAACATCCTGGAGCTCAGCAGAATCCACCTTGCAAAGCCTGGACTTGGGGTACCTACCCCCTGCTCTCTGCAGGGGGCTTCCTTGTCTCCCCAGCAGGGACTGCCCCCCCATCATGAGCATGGACTCTTCCGTCACGGTCACTCAGAGCCCCAAGTTCATTTCTTTCCCACTGTGAGTTCGGACACTGACTGTGTCCCACCCCCAGGAACCTCAGTCAGGGTGGGGCCGGTTCTCCAAGTCCCTTGGTCCTCGCACACGGGACCAGGTGCTTTGGTGAAGACCCTGGCATAAAGCCAGCAGGAGCACGTTTCCAGAGGAGGGCACTGACAGGGTCCTGGTCTTAGAGGGTGGGAAGTGGGGGGATGTTGGAGGGGCCCCTTCCTGTCCCCTGGAAGGTCACTTACAAAATCAGCCTCCGAGCCCAGCCGCTGCCGGGGGTCCTTGTGGAGCAGGCCCTGCAGGAGGTCACAGGCTGCCACCGTGCGGCCCACGGGGATCTGGAGGGGTTGGTGCAGAATGTTCTCGTACATCTGGGACACATCCTGGTTGTAGAAGGGGGGCTGGGGAAAGAGTGGGAGAGGCCGGGGGAAAGGTCACACTCAGGGGCACAATCTTGGGAAATGGGGAGGAGGGCTGGGCAGTGCTCCCAGACCCCGGTTTTGTGCAAAGGCTCACATTTGGGGAGCGGCCGATAGCGTGGGGCAGGCTCCCAGCTTGGTGGAGAGAATTGGTACACTGGTAGCCTTCTGCCCAAACTTCTCCCCCAGCCCAGGGGGTCTTAGGGACCTCCCCACCCACCCAGAAGAATCCTCTCAGGGTTACTCCTGGCTCTGCACTGGGGAATTGCTGCTGGTGGTGCTCAGGGACCCTATGGGATGCTGGCCACCAAACCTAGGTCAGCCGCATGCAAGGCAAATGCCCTACCCACTGTGCTATTGTTCCAGTCCCTGCAAAAGCTTCTTTGAGAAGCCAAAACACATAGTCCAGGTATGCGGGAGCAGAAGCAGCAAATGCCAGGCCTCACAGGACAGGGGAGGAGCCGGCCCTTCTCCTTCTCTCACCCCTTGGGACTCTGAGGCGACGTCCACAAACTGCCCCCTGCTACTTATTAAGCTCCTACAAGGCCACGATCCAGAGACACACACATGAATCTCGGACCCAAGCAGCTATAGAAATCTTTCCAGACCCTAATTATTAAATTTCTAGAATTCCTAGAGTGCGTGACATGATATGCTATCCATAACAAGCAATACAAAACAAATTGTCTAGTATTGCCTTTTCGGCAGGTTTGAGTGTTGGTGGGACTGGTGTAGAAATAGCGGAAGTAACCAAAGTACCAAAGTCGAGAGAGAGTATGGGGGAAACTGTCTGCCATACAGGTAGGGGAAGGGTTGGAATGAGGGGAATACTGGGGATTTTCATGCTGGAAGATGTGCACTGGTGAAAGAATGGGTGATTGATCATTGCATGACCAAAACTCAAATATGAAAGTTTTTTAACTGTAAAAATAAAATAAAAATAACAAATATATAAGATAAAAAGAATATATCTATATCTATCTACATATATATATAGAGAGAGAGAGCATTTTAAACTAGAAAGTGCAAAAACTAACATTGTTGGAAAAGAATTATAGACAATCTTCATATTCACTTTGGCTGCATCCTTTTGCTCTTGTTTGGGACCACATCTGGCAGTGTTTGGGAGTCCCCCAGGGTGCTGAGTTCCCTGTGGTGCTCAGGGGAGCAGTCAGCTCCAGGAATCCAAGCCAGGGCCTCAGACATTCAGGGCAAGTGCTCTACCACTGAGCCACATTTGTGGCTCGATGTCACTGTGTGTATGTGTGTGTGTGTGTGTGTGTGTGTGTGTGTGTGTGTGTGTGTGTGTGGAGAGGGGGTGTCTGGGATTAAACACACGTCTCATGTTGCCAGTTTATGTGTTTTGCCACTAAGTCACATCCCCAGCTGACCACTTTTTTTTTTCTTTTTGGGTCACACCCAGCGATGCTCAGGGGTTATTCCTGGCTCTGCACTCAGGAATTATTCCTGGCGGTGCTCGGGGGACCATATGGGATGCCGGGGATTGAACGCAGGTCGGCCGCGTGCAAGGCAAACGCCCTTCCCGCTGTGCTATCACTCTGGCCCCGCCAGCTGACCTCTGGGTCAGGGCTGGAGCAACAATACAGTGGGGAGGGCGTTTGCCTTGCATGCAGCTGACCTGAGTTCAATCCCTGGCATCCCATACGGTTCCCTGAGCACTGCCAGGAGTGATTTCTGAGTGCAGAGACAGGAGTAACCCCTGAGCATTGCTGGGGGTGGGCCCCAAATAAACAATAATTTAAGCTTAGAACAGAGGGCTTGAGAAAATACAGTGGACAGGGCTCTTGCCTTGCACGTGCTCTACCTGGGTTCAATCCCCAGCACCCCGATGGTCCCCCAGCTCCGCCAGGGGTGATCCCTGAGGACAGAGCCAGGAGTCAGCCCTGGAGACTGCCAGCTGTGGCCCCAAATAACACAAAACAAATAAATGAATAAAGAGATGACTTGTTAAGTCCCTGAGTGGCCACCCAGGGAGGAGGACCCGGCACGTCCCCATCCCAGAGCCCAGAAGTCTCCTGTAGACACCCACTTACAGCCAACACTCACCAGGCCATGTAGCATCTCGTAGAGAACCGCCCCTAGGCACCACCAGTCCACTGCCCTGTCATAAGGTTCTTTCCGAAGCACTTCCGGAGCCAAGTACTGTCGAGGGAGAACACTGATCTGAAAGACCCCTGCCTCAGTTTCCCCCTTTGTAAAGAAAGTTCCTAGAGAGAAAGCTCTGCCCCAGCCGTCCCTGCTGGAATATCTGCTTGGCTGGGCTCGGGCTCACGCAGCGTCCAGTCTCCAGGGGCACACTTTGTGCCAAGCCTTTGGCAATAAGCCGGGGACACAGAGATCGGGCAGGGCTGTTCTGTCCAGTGGTACATGTTGTGCACCACACAAAAGTACTGGTCAGGGGAAGCTCAGTGGTAGAGCACTTGCTCTGCACTTGTGAGGCTCTGGGTTGTATCTCACCAGCTCCACCAAAACAAAAAAAAAAATAAGTACTGGCCACAGATGGAGTCTCCAAGTCTGCCTGAGATCTGTTACCAAGTTGTGACATGGTACAGGACTATTCTTGGCAACTTTTTTTTTTTTTTGCTTAAAAAGCTCACCTTTGGGGTCTGTAGTGATAATACAGCGGTAGGGTGTTTGTCTTTCACGCGATCAACTTGGGTTCAATCTCCAGCACCCTGTATGGTCCCCCAAGCACTGCCAGGAGTAATTCCTGAGTGCAGAGCCAGGAGTAACCCCCGAGCATTGCTGGGTGTGAGCTAAAAAGTAAAAAACCAAAACCAAAAGCAAAAACTCACCTTTTGGGGGCCAGAGAGATGGTACAGTGGATAAGAGCTTGCCTTGCATGTAGCTGACCTGAGGGTTTTATTCCCAGCATCCCACATGGTGGGTCACCTACCAGGGGTGATCTCTGAGCACAGAGCCAGGAGCAAGCCCTGAGTGCCGCCTGGTATGGCCTTAAAACTAAACAAACAAAACAAATCTGCAAGGATTCTGCGGTGAAACACGGTACTGATCGCTGCCAACGTAGCTGAGCTGAGGTGTACCTGAGGGCCGAGTACACGCTGGATGTGAAAGATTTCACTAGGGAACCATAAAGAATAACCTAGCGGTTGGAGAGATAGTCCAACGGGGAGGGCACATGCCTTGCATGCAGGCTGAGCTGGGTTCCATCCCCAGCACCACGTAGGGTCCCCCGGAGCACTGCCAGGAGTGATTTCTGAGCACAGAGCCCAGAGTAAACCCTGAGCATCGCCGGTGTGGCCCTCCCAACGCCACCAAAACAGAATAACCTACTTCCAATGCAAACACTGTTCCTTCTCACGCTTTTAATCGGCTGCCAGAACCCCTGACCTGCCTCTCTCACTTCGGGGGCTCAGTTTACCTCGGGGGTGCCACAGAAGGTGGATGTGGTCTCCTCGGGCTCGACACCTTCCTTGCAGAGGCCAAAATCCGTCAGCACCACGTGACCCTGGGGAGTGAGGGCGGGGCTGGAGGGTGGGCAAAGCTAAGGCTATGACCAGATGACCCCAAAGTCCCCTCAGGATGGAGGCTCCATGCACATCCAGGGCTTCCGGGCTCCTGTGCTGGACGGCAGGGGACGCACGGGGCACAGGCAGGGAGATGGCCGGCTCCTGCCCGCGCAGGTATCCTGGACGACCTCACAAGGCAGGAGCACCTCCCTCTGCCCAACCTCTCGGGCCCCTCTAGGACAGCTCCTGAGAGTGTGGTCCATCCAGTGACCTGCCTGTAGGGCGTCCCATCTAAAGCCCTGAGGGCAGCTCGGCCGTGTACACCCACAGCCACACATGTCCACACACATGTGCACAAGTGCACGGGGTTCACAGGTACACCCCGATGTCGCTGGGCTCACGCATGCACACCTGGCTGTCCAGGAGAATGTTCTCGGGCTTCAGGTCCCTGCAAGAGACCAGAGGAAAGTGGGTGTGAGGCGCTGCTGGCCTTGGGGACGAGAGTGAGCGCCAGGAGCCGGGCCCCAGGTCTGACTGAGGGGGCGGCACCCTCACAACCCCTTCCCGTGGCCCCCAGCCTCACACAAACGTCCCAGCTCACAGGGATAGATTTAGGCTTTAGGGTCAACAGGCTCCCGAAGGTGTTGGTAGGGGAGAAGGGTCTGAGCCCAGGGGCTCGGGTGGGGGAGGCACCACAGCCAGAGTTGCATGAAGCGTGTGGTCAAGAGCGCCATCCCCAGGGCCACCCCATGTGCCAAATGCCGCCCTAGGCCTCTGCCATCCATGTCAGAGCCTGCCCCTCTGGAGCAGACACCTCAATTAAACATGCAGGGCATGAGCCGAATAGCACAGCGGGGAGGGCACTTGCCTTGCACGCCACCGACCCGGGTTCGATCCCCAGCATCCCATGGGGTGCCCTGAGCACTGCCAAGAGTGATTCCTGAGTGCAGAGCCAGGAGGAACCCCTGAGCATTGCTGAGTGTGACCCAAAAAGTCAAAAAAATAATTGCAGTGCCTGTGAGCACAGCATGCCCCTGGACGAGTTCCCCCCCCCCCCCCCCCGGGACCCCAGCAGCCTGTGGTGCCCGGCCGGCCTCACCGGTAGATGATGTTGAGCGAGTGCAGGTAGCCAACGGCACTGGCCACCTCGGCAGCGTAGAACCGGGCCCGGGGCTCCAGGAAGCGGCGTTCGCGCTGCAGGTGGAAGAAGAGCTGCAAGGGGCCAGAGAGATGGTGCAGTGGTTAGGGCATTTGTCTTGCACGGGTTCTATCCCTGGGTTCAACCCTCGGTATCCCAGAGGGTCCTGCAGGGGCAGGAGTAAGCCCTGAGCACGGCAGCGTGTGGCCCCCAAACAAACGAATAGAAGAAAAAGCTGCAAGGGAGGAGGTTGTGTGAATGAGGCAAATTAGAAGTTTTTTTTTTTGGAGGGGTGCGGGGGAGGACTCCTGTAGGACAGAGGGGACAGCTTCTATCCTCCCCCGCAGCTGCAAGGTACTTAGAGGAAAAAACACAGACCCCACCCACCCATAGCGTCTCCAGGCGGATTCTCATCAGTGTGGGACCACTGTGTCCCAGGCTCTGAGTGGCACCCACTCACCTCCCTCCGCATCCATCTCCCTCTCCCTCCCTCTCTCCCTCTCTCTCCCTCTCTTTTCCTCTCTCACTCTCTCCCTCTCCCTCTTTCTCTTTCTTTCCCTCTCTCTCTCTAGCCCTCTCTGTTTCCATTTTGGGGGCCACACCCCACATGACTTGGGGGAAGGGGGCTTCCCAGCTCTGTATTTGGAGGTTACTTCCTGGTGGGGCTCAGGGGAGGATGTGGGGTCACGGGGGAGGCCGCTTAGCCCATGTGTGACCTCTCAGAACTCCCCCCCCCCCCCCCCCGTTGCTTTCCTTTAATTTAATTCTCAACCTTCAAAGCACCCCTGAGGCCAAGGGCCAGGGAGAGGCCAAGTCGGGGGACATGGCCAGGGTCACCTGCACGCTCAGGCCTGGGCTGTGACCCCCCAGGAGGGAGGAGCGTTCTGGAGGGACAGTGGGCCTGGACCAATGCCCGGGGCCAGGCACATTGGGCTGTTTTCTGGGTAAGGAGAGCCCAGCCGCCTTCCGGGGGACCCAGGCAGCAGGACAGAAGGTCCCTCTTGGCAAAGGCCCAAAGGAGTGTCTGATGGGGGTCTTGGGCTGACGTGAGGGCACCTTCACTCGTGCCCAGGGTCAGAGAAGTCCAGGAAGGAGCCGGGTTCCAGAGCTGCTTCCAGGGGTCCTGGGGGGGGTCTGTCTCGATCCCCTTTCCTGTGGCCTCTGGGTAAAGTGGGGCGACTTAAAAGTGGGGTGCCCGGGGGGCTGGAGCAATAGTACAGCAGGTAGGGCGTTTGCCTTGCACGCGGCCGACCCGGGTTCAATTCCCAGCATCCCATAGGGTCCCCTGAGCACCGCCAGGGATGACTCCTGAGTGTAGAGCCAGGAGGAACCCCTGTGCATTGCCTGTTGTGACTCAAAAAGCAAAAAAAAAAAATAAATAAAAATAAAAATAAAAAAGTGGGGTTCCCTTGGGTCCTCCCTCCCTTCCCGGGGACACGGCAGGACACTGCAGATGGGAAGGAAGTTGTCTCCATGGGAGTCAGGCCTTTTGGGAGCCTGGAAGGGGGTTATCGCCTCCCCCCAGCCTCGGTCCCTCCCTCTGGCAGAGCGACTCTGTGGGGAGCGGGAGGGGGTCGTGGGTGCGGGCACCCACCTCACCCCCGTTGACGTAGTCCAGCACGAAGTAGAGCTTCTCGGGCGTCTGGAAGGAGTAGCGCAGGCCCACGAGGAAGGGGTGTCGCACGGTCTTCAGGAGGACACTGCGTTCCGCCATGATGTGACCTTGCTGTGGGGCCACAGGGGGCTGCACCGCCGCCAGCTTGGCCCATGCCCGCCCAGCCAAGGCCCCGACCCCCGGCATCAGCACCGGGGCTCACCCAGACCTTCCCGGCCACAGCCTTGCCTGGCTCCAGGGGCATGAACACACCCACCCACAGCCGCCCCACCCCCCCGCCCCTCCACATCCATGCCCCGGGTCTGCTGGACACCCTCGGGCTGGCCTCAAGAATCCGGCTCCAACACCAGCTTCACATTGGCCTGCCCTGGAGTAGCTCTCTCCCCCCGCAGCCAAGACGCCCTTCCCAGCTGAGTTCCCGCCCCCCCATCCACCCCTGTCAGCCCCCTCGCCTCCGGCTCTACCCTCTCTCTGGGCCTGCTGTGGCTGGGGGTCAAATCTGCAGAAGCATCTAGAATGGGATGCAGCGGGTAGGGCGTTTGCCTTGCACACGGCCGACCCGGGTTCGATTCCCAGCATCCCATAGGGTCCCCCGAGCACTGCCAGGAGTCATTCCTGAGTGCATGAGCTAGGAGGAACCCCTGTGCATCGCCAGGAGAGACCCAAAAAGCAAAAAAAAAAAAAAAAAAAAGAACGGGATGCAAAGTACACCCACAGAGCTGGACCCGTCTTGGGGAGCACCCATGAGGCGGGTGGTGGGGGGATGGGGAGCGGGGGGCGGGGTTTGAGCCCGGTACCTCTTTCTTCTTCAACACCGATTTTTTCTGCAGCACCTTCACGGCGTAGAACACCCCGTCGGACTTGCGCTTGGCCAGCAGCACCTGGGCAGCACAGGCGAGTGACCGCCGGTGACCGCTGATCCTGCCCTGCCTTGCCCCGGAGGAGACCGGGCAAGGGGAGACGTAGCCCCCCGCCCCCTCCTCACTCACCTTCCCGTAGTTCCCTTTGCCAATGACCTTGAGGAAGTCGAAGTCCGTGGGCCGGGCGCTGGGGGCACAGGCAGGCGCGTGGGGTGGGGCCAGGCCACTCCCACCTTCCTGTCTCAGTGGCTTGGTGTGTCTCTATTTATTTCTGTGCTCCAGGCTTACTCCTCGCTCAGTGCTCAGGAATTACTCCTGGCAGGGCTCGGGTCACCACAGGGGATGTCAGGGATGGGGCCAGGGCTGGCTGCATGCCAGGCAAGTGCTCTACCCACTGCACCCGCGCTCCAGCCCCTCCCCCGCCTCTGAACAGGAGAACACGGGGCCCTTCAGAGCACCCCGGGGTCCCCACAGACCCCTGTGCTGAGGGCACCGTGCCCTGTGCCGATAGCACAAATGCTCAGGGGCACTCGGGCTCAGCATGGAGGGGGGGTGGCATGGGAATTCGTGGGAGAATTCCAAGAAACTGGGGGTGGTCCTGGGTGCACATGGTGGGTGATCCAGACCCAGGACCGGAAGACCTGGGTTTTATTCCCAGGGTGAGGGAGGCGGGGCTGGGGCGGGGCAGGACTTACTTTGGGTTGGCCGAAGGCCCCAGGTTGATGTTGCCATGGGCCCTTGAGGGCTGAACGCACAGAGAGAGAGAGAGAAGGTGAGGTCAGCGGATGGCTCACCCTGGCTGAGTGCGCCCCCAGGCCTCAGCCCTGCACCAGTGTCCCTGCTGGCCTCCCTCTCCTCCCTGTCCTACCTCTTCCCTCCCTCCCTCCTCTCTTCCTCCCTCTTCCCCTTTCTCTTCCCTCCCTTCCCTCCTTCCTCTCTTCTCTCCTTCCTTCCTTCCTTCCTTCCTTCCTTCCTTCCTTCCTTCCTTCCTTCCTTCCTCCCTCCCTCCCTCCCTCCCTCCCTCTCTGCCTCCTTCACTCCCTCCTCTCTTCCTCCCCTCCCTCCCATCCCTTTTCTCTTCTTCCTCCCTCCCTCGCTCCCTCTCTTCCTCCCTCCCTCCCTTCTTCCCTTCCCTCCCTCCTCCCTTCTTTCCCTCCCTTTCGTCCACATACCCACTCATCCCTCCACATCTCACCCACTTTGCACAGTAGCCAAGGGAGGTCGCTGGCTGGCTGGCGTGGGGGATGGGGTGGGGGGCAGCCCCCCTGGGTTTAGAACGGGGGGGGAATAATCCCACGATTTTCCTGCCCAGCTACCTCTTGAGCCCTTGCCCAAGTTTCTTCTCTTTGAACCCAGCAAAGGGTCCCGGTGGGGCACGGGGGTCTCCATGGACTTCCTCCGCGCCCTCTGGTGGCGGGTAGGGGAACCACACCCTACTCACCTGGGGGCTGGCGGTCCCCGTGGGAGGCGTGTCCATTCTGCAGGAGGGTCCCGAAGAAGAGTTCTGGGGGGCACAGAGGAGGAGCAGGCTGGGATTCGCTTCCCTGGCTGTAGGGTGGCCCTTCCCACTCCCCACTGCTGGGCACCTATCACAGCCTGGTGTGGGCTGAGAAGTAGAGACCACTGCATGTGGCCGGGGTGGGGGCGGACACATGGTCAGTGGTCACCCCTCCCTCCTCCTGGCCTGTCGGCTGAACCCAGGACAGCCAGAGGGGTGGGAGGGCCCTGCAGAACCTAAACTTTTTCAGGTGGAGCCTTAGGAAGGAACTTCCTTTGGGTGACCACTCTTGGGGCCCAAGCCCAGGTCCCCTGTCCAGCGGAGCTGCCTCTCTGAATCCTTGTGCACGAGCACCTGGAGGGGCACCCTGACAGAACCTGGACAGGCCAGGGTGATCCGAGACCCCTCCAACTACTGCTGGCCCCTGGGAGCACCTGCTCTGTCCCTCATGGCCAGGTGGAGGCCAGCAGTCAGTGGCTTCAGGCCTCATGGCGGCCTCCCTACTCCCGTTCGGAAGTTTAAGGCCAAAGTTGAGATCTTGGACAGCGAGGGAAGGTCAGGGCGGACACGCCTCTCCGTGTGAGGATCCGGGTTCAGCCCCGGCACCTCCTAGTCCCCTGAGCACCGCCAGGTAGGACCCCCGGGGCCGCTGGCACTGCCCGGCTGGCAGCTGGGTCACAGGCGCACACACTGAGCCGCTCGGCCTGGCTCCCTGAGCATTCTGGGGAGCCCCCAGTGCCCCCCGTTGACACCCCACCTGAGAGTTTAGCTGCCTGCAGACTGCCGGGCCTTCCTGGGTCCTGCGCCTCTGTAAGGGACCGTCCTGCCCACCTGTCTGCCCCTGGGCCCCCTGCTGAGCCCACCAGCCCGCCTGCCCACGTACCTGCTTGGCGGGGAGATGCGCCCAGAGCAGCAGCTCTTGCAGCCCGGCTGGGACAAGAGTCTCTCTCTGTCCGTCAACAAGGGCCGCGTGTCTGCGCCTGGCGCGGCCCGGCCCGGCCTCAGCTCAGCCCGCTGAGGGGGCTGCTGATGTCAGCCGCTGGCGACCGTGGGGACCAGGACGTGGCTCCGTGGGGACAGCACCTCCCGGAGTGGGGGAGGGGGTGGGCGGCAGCTGCGGAGAGCCTGGGGTGTGGGGGGATGGTTTGGACAGAGATGACTTTCATGTCTGTCCGGGCAGTGTATCCCTGCAAGTCCCGGCATTTGTGTGGGTCCGTGTGTGTGTCTGTGTGTGTGAGTCTGTGTGTGTGTGTGAATCTGTGTGTCTGTGTGTGCTTCTGTGTGTGTGTCTGTGTATGTGCGTGTGTGTGGGTCTGTGGGTGTGCGTCTGTGTGTGCATCTGTGTATGTGCATTTGTGTGTGGGTCTGTGTGTGAGTTCGTGTGTGGGTCCGTGTGTGTGGGTACATGTGGGTCCGTGTGTGTGAGTCCGGGTGTGTCTGTATGTGTGGGTTCATGTGTGTAAGTCTGTGTGTGTGTCTGCATGTGTGGGTTCATGTATGTGAGTCCGTGTGTGGGGGTCTGTGTATGTGGGTCCATGTGTGTGGGTCCGTGTGTGGTTCATGAGTGGGCTGTGTGTGTGGGTGCATGTGTGTTCTGTCATCTGTGTGAGTGGCTAATTCTGTGGCTCCACGTGCATGCCAAGGAGCCTATGCACAGTGAGGTGCCGTGTTTGCACCTGTGTGTGTGTGTGTCTGTGTATGTGTGACTGTACCACATTGCCCGGGAAGACCATGCTGAGTCATGGTCGGGAGGGGCACTGGAGGGCCCGGGGGACCCCAAGGGAAGCAGCATCAGAGACTCATTTTTCAACAACACAGAAGTGCGGAGCGGTCCCCAGCAGGTGGACAGCCTGTCAGCTGACCCGAGGGCTGACCGGGGACTCGTCTTTGCAGCCCCCAGCCCGCTCTGCGTGTGTGGGCAGACGAGGGAAGGGCTGTGCTCTGGCGGTGACCCTGGCTGTCCCCACTGGTTGCTGCTGGTCGGGAGGCACTGTCTCGGTCACTGTCTGTTCTCTATTCCCCTATCAGGAGACCCCTTGAGAGTGTGACCAGGACCCCCTTATCTCCACCTCTTCTCTCTGGAATTCCAGAGACAGCTCCATACTCGCCATCAGGGTAGACCCTTGGGCAGTGTGTGTGGAATTGCTGCTGGGTGCTGGGTGCAGGTGCTGGGCGCTGGTGCTGGGTGCAGGTGCTGGGTGCTGGGTGCAGGTGCTGGGTGCTGAGTGCTGGTGCTGGGCGCTGTGTGCTGTGTGCTGGGTGAAGGTGCTGGGTGCTGGGTGCTGGTGCTAGGTGCAAGTGTGGGTGCTGGGGGCAGATGCTGGGTGCTGCAGGCACCTCAAACCGTGCCCCTCCCTCCTGTCCACTCGGTCAGGAGATCCCCTCACCCTTCAGCTTTAGAAAGTTTAGGCACTGGGTCTGCCCAGCGCCCCCGCTACACCACAGGGCCCTGCGAGCATCCCTGCATTACTGCAATTGTGCTTCCTAAGTACCCTCACTAATTCATTTATTTTGGGGGCCCACACCCAGTGGTGCTCAGGGTTTACTCCCGACTCTGTACTTAGGGCTCACTCCTGGCTGGGCTGGAGGGGACTCACTTACGATGCTGGAGCCCAGACTCCTGTTAGATGCGGGCAAGGCCAGCCAGCCCCTTCCTGCTGAGCCATTGCTTGGGCCTCTTCACCCCAGTGTATTGTATCCACACGTCAGAGCAGCTCAGACTGGACACCGAGCGTGTGTGACCAGCTCCCGTCCCCCCCGCCCTCCCCTACACACAAACGTGCTCCATGCTCACCCCTGCACGGCCTCCCACCCTCCAGCTTCCGGCAGCTCCTCTCACCTCCTCTGCTGCCTTCACCCTCACTGTCTAGAATGTTCTTCCCTGTGTCTGCATATCTGGCTGCTGCTGGAGGCCCGGGGCCTGTGGCCGACATGGGTTCTCTGGGCCGCCCTCCTGACCACAGCTGTGTGGTTGTTTGTCCGTTTGCCCAGGACCTGGGGCGTCCAGCGCTACATACAGGAGGCTCCGAGGCAGTCAGGATGTGTGTGTGTGTGTGTGTGTGTGTGTGTGTGTGTGTGTGTGTGTGTGACTCAACAGCACTACTTGGCCTCCTCGGCCCTCTGCACTGCTCCCGACACCTGACTGAAGGGCTGGAGCGACAGGACAGTGGGTAGAGCGTTTGCCTTGCATGCGGCCAACCCGGGTTCGATTCCCAGCATCCCATATGGTCCCCTGAGCACCACCAGGAGGAATTCCTGAGTGCATGAGCCAGGAGTAACCCCTGAGCATCGCTGGGTGTGACCCAAAAAAGCAAAAAGCAAAAATAAATAAATAAATAAATAAATAAGATAAAATAAAGGGACCCCCATGGCTTTTCTGGGTCACTGTAGAATGACTGGCAAAGGGACCTGGATTAGAGTCGTGTCAGTCATATCATCAGTCTTATCATATGTATCAGTCTTATATTATATCCTATCAGGCAGGGGCCTGACAAATAGATCAAATAGATCGATTCCCAGCATCCCATATGGTCCCCCGAGCACTGCCAGGAGTGATTCCTGAGTGCACGAGCCAGGAGGAACCCCGCCTGTGCATCACCAGGTGTGACCCAAAAAGAAAAAAAATACCAAATCAGATGAAACAGGAGCGATCTTACAGAGGGGAGGGCGCTTGACCTGCATGCGGCTGACCCAGGTTTGATCCCCGACATCCCATAAGGTCCCTCCGGGAATGATTCCTGAGCTCAGGGCCAGGAGTCATCCCTGCAGTTTGGCGGGCGTGGTCCCCAAACAGAAACAAAATCAAATGAAACAGAAGCAGAGAGGTGATAAACATTAAACGGAACATCGGAGGGGCTGGAGAGAGCACAGCGGGTAGGGGCCAGCCTGGCATGGGCCAACCCAGGTTCGATCCCCGGCAGTCCCCCATGAGCACTGCCAGGCATGATCCCTGAGCACAGAGCCCGGGTAAGCCCTGAGCACCACCAAGTGTGGCCCCAAAACGAAACAAAGCAGTAGAGGGGCCTGGAAGTGGCCCAAGGGGTACAGCTCAGGCCTTGCACGCGTGAGGCCCCGGGCTCAAGCCCTGGCACTCTGGGCACACAATCTGCTGCCAGCTGTGTCCCTTGCGATTCCAGGCACATCCCCGACCGTCTTCAATGTCCCTCCTGTGCCCCTAGGTGTGTCCACCTCCCAGGGTGTCCAGTTGGGATTCCCCGGAACTCAATGATAAAGGCACAAAGAAGGGCAGCAGGATTCCAGCCGCGGGGGCTGGGGGGGGGTGGGGTTTCCTCCGCACGGCGTGAGCCCCTGTGTGTACCAGTCCTGTCGGGGCCACAAAGGTGGGACCATCCGACCCACGGTGAGCAGCTCTCAGCCCCACCCTGACACCCTCCCTGGGACTCCCACAGCTAGGGGCCCTGCCCAGCCAGCCAAGCTGGGGACAGCAAGGGGAGGCAGGACAGTGATTAGGGACGAAGGGGGAGACTGATGGGGGGTGGCAGGGAGCAGAGGGGAAAGGAATGAAGGGAGGCAGGGAGAGAGCTGGGGAAGGAAGGAATGCGGGGGGGAGGGGGGAAGGGAATGAGGAGGAGGGTGAAGAGAATGGGAGGAGGTGAAGGGAATGGGAGGAGGGAAGGGAAGGGAGGAGGGTAGAAGGGAAGGGAGGAGGGTAGAAGGGAAGGGAGGAGGGTAGAAAGGAAGGGAGGGAAGGGAATGGAGGAGGGTGCCAGGTGGGTGAGAGCGAGCAGGCCAGGCCAAGGGCTGAGCCCCTTAGCAGGCAGGTGGGCAGGTCCCTGGGCTAGGGGCAGGTGCTCCCCGACTCCCTGCTCACCTGCAGACCCTGGATTCCCCCCTCAGGTCCTGGCCAACAGCACCATGCCCAGCTCTGCCGCCGGGTTCTCTGCCCGCGGCATCTGTCCTGACGCCCAGGGCCAACTTCGGAACAGCTCCGTGGGCAGCGACCTGTCACCCACTGGCCTGCGTGCCCGCTGGGAGCAGCTGTGCCCCGTCCCAGCCGGCCCGCTGGGAGCTGGTTACTCATTAACCGCTGGGCCTCCATCGTGATGCTGGCAGTGCCCACTGGTTCCTGAGGGGCCCTGTCCTGGGGACCCTCGAGCCCCTGCCGCACTACCTTTGGCAAGTGACTTTTGCTTTCCAGCCTTAGGTGACTTGGGGACCGTGCGGGGCCCTTTCCTCTCCCTGTTCTCTGAGGTCTCAGCCCCAGGCCCAGCTTCAAGCCCATCGTTTCCCCATGGCCCATTTTGAGAGCCCCCTGCTGAATCCTGACTGAGCCTGCCTGCCTGCCTTCCTCCCTTCCTCCCTTCTTCCCTCCCTCCCTCTGTCCCTCCTCCCCTCCCTCTTCTCCTCCCTCCCTTCACTCCCTCCCTTCCT